GGAGTTTGGGCTCAGTGAAGGGGTAACAGGACAAACCCCTTTGCCTCATAATGACCTTAATATACCTGAGCTGGAGCTGTGAGAGGTTCTTGTAGGGTGTCTCGGTCATGTATGAAGAGAAGCTGCATGGAGACCTCAGAGCAGCTCCCCCTGTCTGAAGGGGGCTGCAAGGATGTTGCAGAGGGGCTCTTCATCAGGGACTGTAGCGATAGGACAAGGGGTGATGGGTTCAGACAAACAGGGGAAGTTCAGGTTGGAGATAAGGCAGAAGCTCTTCCCTGTGAGGGTGCTGAGGCGCTGGCACAGGGTGCCCAGAGAAGCTGTGGCTGCCCCATCCCTGGCAGTGCTCAAGGCCAGGTTGGACACAGGGGCTTGGAGCAAGCCGCTCTATGGAAGATGTCCCTGCCTGTGGCAGGGGTTGGAGCTGGAGGAGCTTTAAGATCCCTTCAACCCAACCCATTCCATGGTTCTATGCACGTAAATGTGGTGGTCCTGCAGCCGAGGAGGGGTTGGGGAGCACTGTGCAGAGACCAGGGGAACGCCCAGCACGGAGCTGTCTCCGGCACCAGTGTCTGATAAACAAGGCATTTTTCCTCTCCTTCCCCAGCAAGCATTAGAGGACTGAGCCCAGGAGCCCTGGGAATCATCAGGAGTCTTTCCAGTGTGGGCCTTGGATCTTTGTCTGGATAAATAAATAGGAGGAAATAACAAATAACACGGTTCTAACAAATAGCTTAGAAAAGCCTTTCACTGTGACTGCATCCAAACCCCACAGAGGAAAAAATTCCCCTATTCCTATGATGCTTTTCCATCTGCCTTTCCCCGGTCATCGGGAGCGTTAATGCCGGCACCTCGGCTCGGGAATACGCCTGCCCCCAGGGAAACCCTGCGTGGGCTTTCTCTGCCCGACTTCGTGAGCGAGCTTCGTGCTTGTTGCTGAAGGGACCCCCCTGTCCGCAGGCTCGGTTCCCATCCCTGCCGCTGGCTTTGAGCGGCTCTGTACAAGCCCGTTCCCGGCCCCTGGATGGAGGCTTCCCCACCTCTCCCTGCTCGCCGCTGCCTTGCAGCGACCCCTGCTGCGCGCTTCCCGGAGGAGAGAGGTTTTCCTGCCCCTCGTCCCTCCCAGCAGGGCCGGCCTGGGGCTTCCCAGGTGGGAGCAAAGGAAGCGGGAAGTGGGCTCCCCCCTCGCGTGAAACCAGCGCTGAGCTCTGCCTGCTCAGCCCGTGGAGGTGCTGCTTGTGTTCTGCAAACACCCGGCCCGGCTTGGGGTGGGAGATGATGGGAAGCTCCTGGCAGGAAGCTCGGGAGCAGCGGTGCAGGTGCCTGCCTGCCTGGGGGCTTGCTCCGAAGAGGGAAGGGGCAGAGCAGGATGTGCTGCAGAGCCTGCTTGGCTTGCGGCCGCTGTGAGCACCAACACCGCGGGCACGGCTGTGCTTGGTGCGGCCGGGAGCGGCTGCGGGGCTGCAGGAGCAGCGCTGCCTGCCTGCTGCCCGCCCTCCTAACGCTGTGCTCCCTGTGTGCAGTTGTAGGGTTCTGGCAGAGCTGGCCATGATGTTATGGTTCGTGGTGGGTGCCCTCCTCCCAGCGCTGCTCCTGGCTGCACCCCCCCCCATCAACAAGCTCGCCCTCTTCCCCGACAAGAGCGCTTGGTGCGAGGCCAAGAACATCACGCAGATCGTGGGGCACAGCGGCTGCGAGTCCAAGTCCATCCAGAACAGGTACGGATCCAGCGCGGAGCTGGGGGCAGCTCCTTCCATCTGCTACTGGCGCTGCGGTGGCTCTGGGGCTGCCACTTGCACAACGTCCTGCTCCTGCCTGGCTGCCTCCTGGCACCTCCTCCTGCCTCTGTTGGGAAGAGCAGCACCTCCGCTGAGGTTTCACCCCTCCTCTTGTCTCTGCAGGGCCTGCCTGGGGCAGTGTTTCAGCTACAGCGTCCCCAACACCTTCCCTCAGTCCACAGAGTCCCTGGTGCACTGTGACTCCTGCATGCCAGCGCAGTCCATGTGGGAAATCGTGAGTATCCCTCCCTGCCTGCTCCAGGGGTCCTGCCCCTGAGGGCGCTCGGCTCTGCTCTGCCACCACGTCAGGACAAGAGGTTCTCCTTCCCTGAGGTTCCCAGTCGCAGTTCCGGGTGTCTCTCAGTGGCAGCACCTGTCTCGAGATGCCTGGTGAAGGGGCTGCTGCAGCAGCGGGACTGCAGTGATGGGCGATGCATGTATCGGTGTTTGCAGAAGCATCCCCATCAGGCCCTGCATTATTCATCCCTGTGCTCATCCCTCGTGCCCCTTCTCGCCACCACTCCTGTTGTCGCCTCCTCCCACTTGGGAGTTTTTGCCTTCTTTGATGTCCACAAGTGCTCCCCACAGCCCATCTCTCCAGTCCAGACAGCTCCATGCCCCATTGCTCCTGGCAGAGCCATAAACCCTGCCTCTGAGGCAAGCCAGGAAGCCGGGCTCAGCTCTGCTGTGCTTTCAGCTCATGCCTTCGGGCAGATGGGTCAGGCCAGACTCTCAGATGCTCAGCAGCAATCTTGGGGGGGCCTTTGAGATACTGCCGAGGTTTCTGTGCCAGCAGTGACTGGGAGCAGCATCCTGCTTCAGCCAGTGCGTAACACAGCCCATCAGTGAGCCCAGAGCCCCTCCATGTGCTGGGCTGCACCCCCAGAGCGTGAGCAGCAGCTCAGGGAGGGGATCCTGCCCCTCTGCTGTGCTCTGGGGAGACCCCCCCTGCAGCCCTGATCCAGCTCTGGGGCAGCAGCACAAGAGGTACATGGAGCTGTTGGAGCGAGGCCAGAGGAGGCCATGGAGATGCTGCAAGGGCAGCCCAGGCTGAGAGAGCTGGGCTGGGGCAGCCTGGAGAAGAGAAGGCTCCTGAAGGGGAGACCTGAGAGCAGCTCCAGTGCCTGAAGGGGCTGCAGGAAACCTGGAGAGGGGCTTGGGACAAGGGCCTGTAGGGACAGGCCAAGGGGAATGGCTTTAACCTGCCCGAGGGGAGACTGAGATGAGCTCTTAGGCAGAAGCTCTTCCCTGTGAGGGTGCTGAGGCGCTGGCACAGGGTGCCCAGAGAAGCTGTGGCTGCCCCATCCCTGGCAGTGTTCAAGGCCAGGTTGGACACAGGGGCTTGGAGCAAGCTGCTCTAGTGGAAGGGGTCCCTGCCTGTGGCAGGGGTTGGAGCTGGGTGAGCTTTAAGGTCCCTTCCAACCCAACCCATTCTATGGTTCTATGATGAACCTATGACTTTCCCTGCACCTTGTCCCCTTGACACCCCTAGTGAGCTCTTGCCTTGCAGACTGGCAGTCGAGGTTTCTTTACATGGATAATGAACCACCGCTCCTGGGTTATGCTACACCAAGTGTGCAGGGCACAGGGCAGGTCAGACCCACAGCCCCGTGTCCATCGGGTTGCTGAGCCTGCACACTCATCCCCGCGTCCTCCTCCCTCTGCCCAGGTGACCCTGGACTGCCCAGGCAACGACGAGATCCCCAGGGTGGACAAGCTGGTGGAGAAGATCCTTCACTGCAGCTGCCAGGCGTGCGGGAAGGAGCCGAGCCACGAGGGAGCCCTGTTCAACGTCTACCTGAACGCGGAGGAGAACCTGCCCGCCGAGGGTCCCGCGCCCCATCACTACGCCCACCACCAGCAGCAGGAGGTGGAGGAGCCTCCTGCCTCCAGCCACCACCACCACGAGGAGGAGGGCGACGAGTGAGCCGGCCCCTGTGGACTGTCCTTGTGGGCAGGGGCTGGGTGCGGGTGCGGGACAGGGGTTGGGGAGGGAGGGGGGGTTGCTGGAGTCTTTCCTGTCCTGTAGCTGCCCTCACGCTTTGCTCTCCACGGCCCCCCAGGGAAGGAGGAAGGCTCTGAGGCACAAGCAGGGCTGAGGGGCAGGAGCTGCAGGCTGAGAGGAGGGCTCGGTGGTGCCGGATGCAAACCTACTTGCACATAATAGTACTAATATATTGAGAGGAGCAGGGACGCGGATGAGGGGGGTTTGGCTGCGAGCAGGAGCTGAGCTGGGCTCCCCAGGGGCTGTCTGCAGGCTCCGGACCCGTGTGGAGCCCTTGCTGAGCCCTTCTGGGTTTTCCTCTTGTAAATGGCTCATCCCTGGGGTGCAGGAGGAAGGGACGCATCGCAGGCCCCCAGGAGACGCGCAGCTCTCCTGTGTGCGACCAGCAGCATCCCTTCTGCCTCCTTCCGTCCCTGCCTGCCTCAGGAGCTGAGCTGGATGCTCTGTTCCTCGCTGGATCTTCGCTCAGCCCCAGCCCTCTTGTGTCAGCAGCTCCTGGGGAGTGCTTTGCCCCAGGAAGAGCCGCTGGGGCTGTGGGAGGTTGTTGGGGGCCTTCACCCTCCTGGTCCCTGGGGCCACCACGAGGGAGCTGGATCGTGCCATGGGCACTGCTGTGGCTCACAGGGGAAGGCCAGGAGCAGGCGGGGAGGGGAGCGAGCCCCTCTGCCCCCACCCCCTGCTGCACTTTAAGGGTGGTGGAGGGAGAGGGGGACGAGTGCCAGGCTGCAGATGGAGCCTTGCAGGGGCTGCTCGTGCCGGGCTGGGGGCCCCTCCTGCTCCCCCTTTCTCTCTGTCGTATGGAGCTGATTCTTTGGCGCTGCCTTGACAAGAGCTTCCAGAGCTTGTGCTCGGTGCCTCCCCCTCCGTTTTACAAGGGTTTTGGTTGGGTTTGTGCTTCTGAAATAAATGGGGTCTGACTCCCACCCCTCAGCGCGCTGGTGCCTGTCTGGTTTGTGGCCGTAGGCTCGGTGCTGGTGGGGTGAAGCTGCTTACAGCAGGACAGCAGCGCAGGAGGGTACAGGGCACGGGAAGCAGTGGTTCCCCTTAGCTTGCTGCGTTCCATTCAGGAGGAAGAGCTCTTAAAGGGAAAACCCACCCCGAATTCCCGGCATCTGGGCTGCACGTGGGCACACCAGGCGCTGCTGCGCTCCAGGTTGCTGCAGCCGGGAGGTTTGAGGGCTGTCGGGTCCCGCTTGTGCGGGAAGTGCGTGGGGTCCCTAGGGGATCATGGAGCCTTTCCCAGCTCTGTTGCCACTAGGTGACACTCTTGATCCAGCGCCTTGCGTGGCATCCAGATGTTCCCTGGCCCTGGGAGTGCTGCGGGAGTGGAGGAAGGTGGACATGGGAATGGATGTGGACACGGATGTGGACACGGATGTGGACATGGATGTGGACATGGATGTGGACACGGATGTGGACATGGATGTGGGCACGGATGTGGACATGGATGTGGACATGGATGTGGACACGGATGGGGACATGGATGTGGGCACGGATGTGGACACGGATGTGGACATGGATGTGGACATGGATGTGGGCACGGATGTGGGCATGGATGTGGACACGGATGGGGACATGGATGTGGACATGGATGTGGACACGGATGGGGACATGGATGTGGGCACGGATGTGGACACGGATGTGGACACGGATGTGGACATGGATGTGGGCACGGATGTGGACACGGATGTGGACATGGATGTGGACACGGATGTGGACATGGATGTGGACACGGATGTGGACATGGATGTGGACGCGGATGTGGACGCGGATGTGGGCGCGGATGTGGGCGCGGATGTGGACGCGGATGTGGACATGGATGTGGACACAGATGTGGACATGGATGTGGACGCGGATGTGGACGCGGATGTGGGCGCGGATGTGGGCGCGGATGTGGACGCGGATGTGGACATGGATGTGGACACGGATGTGGACATGGATGTGGACACGGATGTGGGCATGGATGTGGACACGGATGTGGACATGGATGTGGACACGGATGTGGGCATGGATGTGGACATGGATGTGGACACGGATGTGGACATGGATGTGGGCACGGATGGGGACACGAATGTGGACACGGATGTGGGCACGGATGTGGGCACGGATGTGGACACGGATGTGGACACGGATGTGGACACGGATGGGGACACGGATGTGGACACGGATGTGGACGCGGATGTGGACGCGGATGTGGACGCGGATGTGGACGCGGATGTGGACACGGATGTGGACACGGATGTGGGCACGGATGGGGACATGGATGTGGGCACGGATGTGGACACGGATGTGGACATGGATGTGGGCACGGATGTGGGCACGGATGTGGACATGGATGTGGACACGGATGTGGGCATGGATGTGGGCATGGATGTGGACATGGATGTGGACACGGATGTGGACACGGATGTGGACACGGATGTGGACACAGATGGGGACACGGATGTGGACACGGATGTGGTCACGGATGTGGACACGGATGTGGGCACGGATGTGGACACGGATGTGGACATGGATGTGGGCACGGATGTGGGCACGGATGTGGACATGGATGTGGACACGGATGTGGGCATGGATGTGGGCATGGATGTGGACATGGATGTGGACACGGATGTGGACACGGATGTGGACACGGATGTGGACACGGATGGGGACACGGATGTGGACACGGATGTGGTCACGGATGTGGACACGGATGTGGGCACGGATGTGGGCACGGATGGGGACACGGATGTGGACACGGATGTGGACACGGATGTGGACACGGATGTGGACACGGATGTGGGCACGGATGTGGACACGGATGTGGACACGGATGGGGACACGGATGTGGACGCGGATGTGGACGCGGATGTGGACGCGGATGTGGGCACGGATGTGGGCACGGATGTGGACACGGATGTGGGCACGGATGTGGACACGGATGTGGACGCGGATGGGGACACGGATGTGGACGCGGATGTGGACGCGGATGTGGACGCGGATGTGGGCGCGGATGTGGGCGCGGATGTGGACGCGGATGTGGACGCGGATGTGGACGCGGATGGGGACGCGGATGTGGACGCGGATGTGGGCATGGATGTGGGCACGGATGGGGACACGGATGTGGGCACGGATGTGGACACGGATGTGGACACGGATGTGGACGCGGATGTGGGCACGGATGTGGACATGGATGTGGACACGGATGTGGGCATGGATGTGGGCATGGATGTGGACATGGATGTGGACACGGATGTGGGCACGGATGTGGACACGGATGTGGGCACGGATGTGGACACGGATGTGGGCACGGATGGGGACACGGATGTGGACGCGGATGTGGACGCGGATGTGGACGCGGATGTGGGCGCGGATGTGGACGCGGATGTGGACGCGGATGTGGACGCGGATGGGGACGCGGATGTGGACGCGGATGTGGACACGGATGTGGACACGGATGTGGGCACGGATGGGGACATGGATGTGGGCACGGATGTGGACACGGATGTGGACATGGATGTGGGCACGGATGTGGGCACGGATGTGGACATGGATGTGGACACGGATGTGGGCATGGATGTGGGCATGGATGTGGACAGGGATGTGGACACGGATGTGGACACGGATGTGGACACGGATGTGGACACAGATGGGGACACGGATGTGGACACGGATGTGGTCACGGATGTGGACACGGATGTGGGCACGGATGTGGACATGGATGTGGGCACGGATGGGGACACGGATGTGGACATGGATGGGGACATGGATGTGGGCACGGATGTGGACATGGATGTGGACATGGATGGGGACATGGATGTGGGCACGGATGGGGACACGGATGTGGACATGGATGGGGACATGGATGTGGGCACGGATGTGGACATGGATGTGGACATGGATGGGGACATGGATGTGGGCACGGATGGGGACACGGATGTGGACATGGATGGGGACATGGATGTGGGCACGGATGTGGACATGGACATCCCTTCCTGGGTGAGGAGGGGACCCGAGCACCTCGGCTGGAAACCAGAGGGCTCTTTTCCAAGGCTGGAAAAGGAATTTCCCAAGGGATCGGCATTCCCTGGGCAGGGCAGAGTGTGCCCTCGCAAACCTCTGCTCCCACTGGTGCCCCCAGCCTGGCTGTGCCAGAGACAACCAGGTGATGCTCCCTTGTTGAACCTGGAGAAGGTCCCGGTGCTCCGGTGGGATGTGAGGCTGGTCCGTGCAAGCCACCAGCTCTTAGTGAATGAATCCCAGGCTCTGGGGGCTCTGCACGTGTTTGGAGAGCAGCTCCAAATGGTGTTTGCATTGAGGCAGCAATTGCAGCCCCTGGTGGGCCCGGAGGGGTCCGGTGTGTTGAGGTTATGTCTTTGGCTGTGCGGTGTCTTCCCAAGGCAGGGAGCAGGGAGCTTTCCAGACACCTGCGCTCTCACCAGCCTCTGCCACGGGGCTCTTTCATTGCTGTCAGTGGAAACAGGGCCTGAGTTTGGCCGGGGAACTGCCCCTGTGGTCCCAGGAGCTGCAGCACAAGGGGTTGGGAGCAGGAGGTCCCCCCCTCCTTCAACACCCCCCGAGCCTCAGTGCAGGCCACGGAGGCTGCTCTGTGGAGGGAAGGTGCTAAAGGCTCTGCCCCAAACCAGCCCTAAGGAGCCATCCCACGGAAAGGATGGAACCAGACCCCGAGGACAAACTGCACCGGTGGGGCTGGCCTGGACCGCCCCCGTGTCCTCACCGACCTCCCTCGGCCCTTCCCGTTCTCCTCAGCAGCCCTTTCCTCCGCTGTGTGGCTGTCGAGGACCTGGATTTGCTTCCCTGCTGGTGGTAGGGGAGAGCAGAGCTGGTGGAGCCGCGATGCCCTGCAGATGTGCTCTGGGATGTGCGCAGGGACAGCGCACACAGGGGGGCACAGGAGCCTGTGCAGGGGCAATGGTGGGATTCGGAGCTCGTTTAGGGCAGGTTTCTTAAACACGTTTTCACGGAATCAGGGAATCCTGAAATGGTTTGGGTTGGAAGGGACCTTGAAGCCCAGCCAGCTCCAACCCCTGCCACGGGCAGGGACCCCTTCCACTGGAGCAGCTTGCTCCAAGCCCCTGTGTCCAACCTGGCCTTGAACACTGCCAGGGATGGGGCAGCCACAGCTTCTCTGGGCACCCTGTGCCAGCGCCTCAGCACCCTCACAGGGAAGAGCTTTTGCCTCAGAGCCCATCTCAGCCTCCCCTCGGGCAGGTTAAAGCCGGTCCTCATTTTGCTCCCATCAGTTCAGATTCACTTCCCCAGCAGCCGCATCGGACGCGCTCCTGATCCAACGCAGAAGCCGAAGCTCTGGGGCTGAGCTGCTCCCGAGGCTGGGGTGCAGCGGGGCTGCGCGGGGAGCGCGGCTTTGCTCCTGTGGCCCCGCTTCCTCCCCTCGCACGGAGCCAGCTGGGATGAATCTGCTGCTCCCTGATGCGCCCTCGCCGGGAGGCTGCCGCAGGGGGCTTCGCTGGTTCCCAGCGCAGATGTGCTGGGGAAGGGAGGGTTTCCTGGTGCGAACGCTGCTCCCGGATCCCTCCCGCTGCGATCAGAGCCTCGCGTGCCTGCGCTGCCCTGGGCCCCTGCCAGGACACGGTGGTGCCGAGGCGGCCGCGGGGCTTCGGCTGGGAGCAGCCAGGGAGCTCTGGGGAGCAGAGGGAGCGCAGACCCAGCCGCCAGCTCCGGAGCCTGCCCTGGCTCGCCTCGCCCTGCCGCTGCTGGCTGATGTTGCTCAGGGAAGCGGTGCCGGGGTCCCGGGGTGCCCATGGGCTGCATCCGTGCACAGAGCTGAGCCCTGCTTTGCGTCCCTCTGTCCCTTGCTCTGAGATGGTTCCAGGCCTCAAGTGCCCGTTGGGCCACGGGGGAAAGCACAAAGCTGGTGAGAAAAGTGGGGTTTGGTGAAGAGAAAAGTGGGGTTTGGTGCAGCAGGATGGGGCCGGGCGCAGCTGGCTCTCACCCCACATCTGCACCAACATCCGCGGTGGTGCAGGGAGGAAGGGGCAGTGCCCGTGCCCCACGGCAGGCACATGCACGGCTCTGGTCTGTGCTGGGGTGGGTGCCCTTGGCTCTGCTCATCCCCAGCAGAAACTGCAGCAAGGGACTGGAAGGAAAAGAAGGCTTTTGGCAGCTGGGTGGTTAAAACCCCAAAGCAGACCCTGCCGAGCACCACGAGGGGTTGGCTGCGATGTGTGGAGGTGGTGGCAAGCACTGAAAGACTCAGAAGTGCTCAACTAGAAGGAATGAAGAAGCCAGCAGCACACCCTGGCTCCCACTTGCCGAAGGGCAGTTGCCGTGGGTCCACCCAGGGGTGCTGCACCGAGGGCAGCCCAGGTAACCATGGAGCAGAGAGGGGAGGGCTGATGCTCCCCTGGTGCGGTGCAGCCTCTGCTCTTGGCTTCTGCTCACTCCCTCCATCCCTGGCTGCAGATGGGTGGAAAAGCAGCCATCAAATCCTCCCTCTGCCTCTGGCTGCTCGGAGCGGGCTCTCGGTGCAGCCTTGGATGCTTTTCATGTGGCTTTGCTCCAAATCACCCAGCACAGAGGATGGAGCCTGGCGTGGGCAGGGCTTGCCCATGGACCTGCTGGTCCAGGGGTCACTGCTCACCTGCCCGGACAATGTGGGGTCCCCAGTGCTGGCGTGGGGAGGCAGAGCACGGTGCGGGCTGTCTCTTTAAGGCAGAGAAAGGAACTCTCTGCGTGCCACTTTGTGGAGTTCAGAGCAGATCCCTGTTGTCATCAGCATCTCATTGCATCTCATCCCCTCCTCGCCCTCCCTGGCCCCACCTCCTCCAAATCCGCGTTTCTGCATCCCTTGCTGTGCAGCGCAGAGCCGCAGGTGAAGGTCTGGCTGGTGCCTGCACATGGACGCACGGACACGGACACCACAGACACGCACCCTGCACGCACCTCTGCCGGGGACAGGCACCTGCCCACTCGGAGCCTGCATCCTCCTCCTCCCGGCGCGCGTGGCTGGGAGCAGCTCCGGCTCTGCCTCTCCTCCCTGGCTCTGCCTGCAGCAGCAGCAGCTGCGGGGGGAGCTCGGTGCGGCCCCACTGCCCCAGGGGACAGAGCTCTGCAGGGAGCCAAGCCCAGCCGGGGGGCGGGTGAAGGGCCTCGGGTCCAAAGCATCCCCAGCATCCCCGGTCCAGAGCATCCCAGTATGTGATGTATCCTGAGGTCCAGAGCATTTGGAGCATTCTTATGTTCCAGCACATCCAGAGCTTCAGAGCATCCCGCTATCCAGAGCATCCCTGGCACCTCAAGCATCCTGCCATCCAGAGCATCCCTGGCACCTCAAGCATCCTGCCATCCAGAGCATCCCTGGCACCTCAAGCATCCTGCCATCCAGAGCATCCCTGGCACCTCAAGCATCCTGCCATCCAGAGCATCTCAAGCCTTCCTGGCGCCCAGAGCATCCCCAGCGTCCGGAAGCAGTGTCCAAGGGCATCCCGGAGCAGGGGGATTTGCAGGGATGAGGAAACACCTGGCTGTGAGTAATGGGGAGGAGAACCTTGCTCCTGCTGATGGGCTCCTGGGAACATCACTCTGCCCTGATCGCCGGTGAAGAGACAGAGCAGTGGGAGAGGAGCAGGAGAGAAGGGAGGATGGATGCACGGGGATGCCTCTTCTCGCCCTGGTGCTGCCCCCTGCCATGATCACCTAGCACCGGGCGTGCTGGCGAAGCTCCCTGCAACTCCTCATGGAGGGTGACTTGGGAGCCCCCAACGCCAGCGTGCTGGGGGAGCGCTCGCTGCTGGTGGGGAGCAGCTGGGTGGCTGCTTTCCTCTGCTTCATCATCCTGCTGACCGCGGCGGGGAACTTCCTCCTCATCCTCCTCATCGTCACCCAGCGCTCCCTCCGCAACACCTCCAACTACTTCCTGGTGTCGCTCTTCATGTCCGACCTGATGGTGGGGCTGGTGGTGATGCCCCCGGCCATGCTGAACCAGCTCTACGGGCGCTGGGTGCTGCGCAGTGACTTCTGCTCGCTCTGGTACTCCTTCGATGTCATGTGCTGCAGCGCCTCCATCCTCAACCTCTGCATCATCAGCCTGGACCGGTACCTGCTCATCATCTCCCCGCTCAAGTACAAGCTGCGCATGACCTCCTGCAGGGCCCTCTGGCTCATCCTGGCTACCTGGACCTTGGCCGCGCTGGCCTCCTTCCTGCCCATCAAGATGGGGTGGCACGAGCTGGACTTCGAGGTCCGGTCCCCAAACGTCACCTCCCGCGGGGATGAGGACCAGTGCCGGCTGCTGGTCAGCCTGCCCTACGCCCTGGTGGCCTCCTGCCTGACCTTCTTCCTCCCCTCCACCGCCATCTCCTTCACCTACTGCCGCATCCTCCTGGCGGCCCGCAAGCAGGCCGTGCAGGTGGCCTCCCTCGCCTCCAACGTGGCCACCGCCACCGCCGAGGAGGCCACGGCACAGGTAAGGTGCCCACGGGGACGCTGCTCCTTGCTGGCACCCGTGCGCCGGGTGCAGGGGGGCGTTTGTGGCTTCTGGAGCCAGCAAAGCCAGGCTGCGGGGGGGATTTGGGGCAACATCCACCTCGGTGTCCTCTGATGCCCCCCCCCGTGTCTTGTCCCAGCTTTTGAGCTGCTCGGGAGCACAGGAACAGCGCAAGGAACGTATTGAAACCCAGGCGAAACTGAATGGAGCTTCGGCTCCCTTCTGGCTGGGTCCTTCCAGGGGGTTTTAATCCTCCCTGACTTCCCCCTCCTCAGTCCTGGCCGCGGTGGGTGTGAGGCGGATGGGGGAGAAGGGGTTTAAACCACGGCAAATGCCAGGTTCCAAGGGAGCCTTTGGAAGCGGCAGCGCCTGTTCCTGCTCCCTGGTGCCTAACGGGAGCTGCGCGATCCCTCCTTGCATCGCTGCTCAGCCTCGGGTGTGTGGCTTTTATCACCGGGGCTTGTTTGTGTTTCTCCAGGAGAAGGTAATTGCCGCTAAATGTAACAGCTTTAATTCCCTATAATGGGCTTTACTGACCTCGGGTCCTGCAGGGAATGACAAACGTAATTGCCTTTAAATACCTTGATTTAGTTCGTTGCTCTCTCTTAGACAAAAGCAGCCGAGGCTCTGGGATTCGCCCAGCTCCTGCACCTGATGGGATGCGCCAGCCTTTCCAAAGGGAAATGAGGAGGGAAGACCAGCGACAACAGCATCAATGTGCCTTTTCCGCCCGCAAGTCAGGGGTTTGGGTGCTGCAAACACCTCGAGGTGCTCGGGTGCTTTGCTCTGTGTGAAACCAGCACCACCCCCGTGTCCCAGGAGGCTCCTCCAGGGAATCCTGGAGTTTCCCCTTTTTAACCACGTTTTCCTTCTCTTTTCTGGGCCCCAAGCTGGGTGCCAACGGGCCCCTGGTTATTTCTGGCAGAGGGCTGAGCTAATGGCTTCGGTTTGGGTTGCAGGGACAGAGCCCTGAGCTGTGGGCTCTGCAGGCTGACATCTCTGATGTCCTGCCTTTAACCACAGAGTTTCTGCTCTAAGCAGCAGCTCAGGCTGCACCTCCAGGGCATGTTTTATCCTCCCCAAAGCCCTGATGAGCCGCGTTTGTCTCTAAAGGAGCAGCCTGACGAGAAAGCCTCTGTTTTCCAGTTACAGCGCTCTCAATGTTGAGGGCTTCTCTTGCCTCCTCTCCCCGACGCGCGGTGCAGTGCGTGCCCCCTCCTGCCCACTGCCCAAAGGGAAAGAACTGCAGGCTCTGCACTTCCCTGCAGGCTGGGGCCGGTGTTCCAGCTGGTGGGAATCGCTCATTGTCCCTTCTCCCTCCCCAGGCTCCCCGCGCCCCGAGCCAGCCCGCGGCCGGCAGCGAGAGCAGGAGGTTCACCAGCAAGCACAGCAAGAAGGCGCTGAAGGCCAGCCTGACGCTGGGCATCCTCCTGGGCATGTTCTTCGTGGCCTGGCTGCCCTTCTTCGTCACCAACGTGACGCAGGTAAGGCTCGGGTGGGTTTGACATGGGGGTTTCAGTCGGTTTTCACTTCGAAACCAGATGGGTTCAGGCTTGGGCACCTGCAGGAACGGCTGGAAAGGCTCCAGGACCAAAGGGGCAAGGGATGGGGCAAGAGGAAACGGCCTCAAGCTGCACCAGGGCAGGTTTAGATGGAGCTGAGGAACAATTCCTTCCCCAGAGGGTGCTCAGGCATTGGAACAGGCTGCCCAGGGCAGGGCTGCAGTCACCGTCCCTGCAAGTGTTCACACCCCATGGAGACGAGGCCTCAGTGCCATGGGTTAGGGGTGGCCTTGGCAGTGCAGGGGTAAGGGTTGGACTGGATGAGCTTAAAGGGCTTTTCCAACCTGGATGATCCCAGGATCTCCCTGTGGAGCAGCATCAAGGCAAAGCCCTTTGGAAAGGTTCTGACGGGTTTCTGTGAAAGGGAGGTGCTGCCACGGCTGGGATGGGGGCTGAGACGGGCCCCGCCGCTGACCCTCGCTGTGTGCCCCCAGGCAGTGTGTGGCTGCGTTCCAGCCGGCTTCTTCGACGTCCTCACCTGGCTCGGGTACTGCAACAGCACCATGAACCCCATCATCTACCCGCTCTTCATGAGGGACTTCAAGAGGGCCATGGGCAAGTACCTGCCGTGCTGCCGGCGCCCCGGGGAGCCGCGGCCCAGCGCCATCTCCCTCTCCATGAGGAACTCCAACAGCGGGGCCCGCGCCGCCACGTCCCTCAGGAACGTGCTCACGCTGCAGGCTGACACCGACTCGGGGGTGCTGGGCAACGAGCACAGCCTGCTCCCGGCCCCCATGGGCAGCCTCGGCGCGGAGCCCCCCGACACGGAGCTGCAGCCCCGGCAGCTCAGCACCCCCCTGGCCTGAGAGGGGGTCCCGGAGCTCCGAGTGCTGGGAAGGATCCGTGCCGAGCCCCGTTTCACCGCCCAACGGACCTGCCTTGTTCTCCTCTCCTCCCATCCTGCCTCTGCTCGCCGTCACCAAGCGCTTGTCCCTCTCCAAGAGATGCTCCTTGGGGCCTTTTCTGGTCACTTGGAACCTTGGGCACCACATCTTCCACAGCCAACATCTCCCCGGAGTTAAACCAAGGCCTGGCTTTCATCTCCCACTCCCACAGCTCGGTGGGTCACCAAATGCACTGAGAGCAATGGGGGAAACAGCGTCCCATGACCCACGGGCAAGAGGTTTGGGAACAGAACATCCCATCTGGTTGGAGGTTAATCCCCTCGCCTGACTGGGGCTGTATCGGTGCTGCAGTGAGCAGCAGCACAGTGAAACCATCGTGTTTAATCACAAACTGCACAACGGGGGTTAAACGTGATGCAGGATGCTCAGCACCACTTCCTGGCTCCTCAGCAAGGTGTGGGTGTTTGCCTCGTGTGTGGCTCTGTGGGTATCCTGACAGGAGATAAGCTTCCCTTTGGATTGCATCCTACAGCGTCCTATTTTTGGCATGTGCCCATCATACTTTGACAATCCGTCAATTTTTAGATGATGTGGTTAAAAAAATAGACTTTTTATTCCCTTTGCAGTGAAAATGTAACCAAACATTGTCTTTTAAACAACAATTCCAGCCCCTCCGCAGCCACCAGCAGAGAGAAAAGTGACTAAGGCAGCAAGTGGGCACTTCAAACGTGTAATAACCCAATGAGTGCTTTTAGCAAATCCCTCCTCAAGTGCCTTCCTGACGTAGCGATGGGCCGGGGGCTGCCCCTTTGGAATCAGACTGCTGCCTTTTTCCAAGCACTCCCAGAACTCACTGTTATCCACACAAACCATCCCTGCGGGACCGGATGCTGGAAGAAGCCACCACACACCAAGCAAATTGCATTGGTTTTCTTTCCACATCACCCACGCGTGTTCCAGAACTGAACAAGGGGTTGGTATGAAGAAATCCACGTTTCCTTGCTATAAATGCCCCCCACCCCAGGGCAGGCAGTGCCTGTGGCAGGACTGAGCCCGGGTCCAAACAGCACAAGGGGTCGTGCACTTTTGGTACCTACCTGAGGACAGATGGGGTTTGGCATCGAGCATGAAGTGAGTGCATCTGCCCTTAAACTGCTTTACACTCTGGCTGTAGCTCCAGTGCAAAAGGAGCTGGCAGACACCGGGTGCAGTGTGTGAGGTGACCGGATCAGCAGGCACAGGATGTGGGAGATGGATGGAGAGAGGCCACTTCTTCAAGCCAAATGGTCAAAAGCAGTACCAGGACTCACTGAGCCAGTTCTTTGCAATGAGGTGCTTGCTTGTGGACAAAGCTTCTGATGCCACGGAGGAATCACCGCCCTTTCCTGCAGGCAACACCACTGCCCTGCAAAACAGGCTGGGGGCTCCCAGTCCTTGGGATGTTTCCAAGGCCCTGCTCTGGAATCAGCACTGAGCAGCACCGAGCCCCCTGACAGCAGGATGTGGAGAGAGGAAAAGCCCCCAACAACGTCAGACCCCAAACCAGCCACACTTTGGACTTCAGGAGAAGTCACCTGCAGGTAAGGTGTGCCCAAAGCTCGGGAAGGGAAGGGAAGGTGGGTATTAAAGTAGCTGCTGGGACAGGGAGGGAGGAGAAGGACTTGGTGTGTGAAACGGGAAGCTGCAGCCATGCTCCTTCCCCTCTCATGAGTCAAGACCTTCTGATCTGGAGGTGTTTCTACACGAGAAGGTTTCTCCTCCTGCCCTGTTCCTGGTAGATGCATTTGCTCGGGCTCAGCAGCAAAACAGGTCAGAAAAGAACCTCTGATGGAAGATGTGGATCAGTCCCACATGGGTTTGGAAGGCTCTGTGTGGTGGCAGATGTAAAGTGGGGTCCCTCCCTCCGGTGTGAGACTGGGGGAGCGGAGAGCGGATACCAATTAGCTCTTACGGAAGGAGGCAGAAATCAAACAGATTCATCCTATGCCAAGTATTAAGCCAATGAAAAATATGCCTGGAGGGACTTTCAAGGCTGGAGAAGTGTGTGAGACACAAAAGCAAAGTCTCTGTGGGTTGCTGGCTTGCAAAGCCTGGGAGGAGGTTTTACAGAGCACTAAAGCACAACCAGCCCACTCTGTTTGCTCTGCTGTGTTCACCTGGGGTCTCCAAGTGTGTCTCCACCTCGAGCACTCACTGCACTCAGCTCCCAGTCGTGTTGATGGGGAAGTGCCCAAGCCGGCACACCAAACCTACAGCAGGCAGGGAGAGGAGCCAGGCAGCCCCAGCCCTTCACCTCCTCACTCAGCAGAGCTGAAGTGTGGGCACTGGGATGTAGGTGCCTGGACACCAGAGCCTGCAGTGCACCAGCTCACATGAAAGCCAAAGCCAAATCGACCACCAAAAGTGGGTTTCATTTCCTAGAGCCCCTCTCCTCAATCTGCTTCAAAGTACCCAGAGACACCTCTTTCCCAAAAGTTCCACAGCAGAAACACAGCCCCTGATGGGGAGAACTGCTTCCTCCCAGGACAAACCCACTTTGTGCAAGGAGGGAAGCGCTTCCTGAGGAGCAGGGCTGATTCAGGCAGGAATCAGCCCCTTCTCCATGGGAGATGCTGTGGGCAGCTGCTCCATAAGCTCTGATCCAGTGACACACTGGTGCCATGCTCCAGGCTCTCAGGAGGGTCTGAAACCTGCAGCTGCAGCTCTGCCAGTGCTACCGATATTCCTTTGGGAATGCCAGTGCTTTGGAAGCAGTTTCAGTGCTGGTTGAGCATCTCTGCCCAGCACCGAGCTCTAATGTGCTCCTTCCCCTGCTGCCTGTTCCTTGGTTCCTCCCAGGACAGGGCTGGGGGAATCTGGGCAGTGAGCACTGGCTGGGAGAGCATCACTTGCAGCCACATCCTCATCCTCATCCTCCTCCTCCTGCACAGTGCCTTCCTCTTCCCGAGTCCTACTGCCCGCTGCCTGCTGGGACTGCCTGGCTGGAGGGGAGGAGAAGCTGCCACTGCCCTTCTTTTCCTTGGTTTTTATGCCCACAGCTTTGAGGATCGTGTCCATTTGCTTCATGTAGTCCAGGTGGCCGTTGACCTGCAGAAAACAAGAGTCCTGTTAGTGGGGAGGCTGTGGGGAGCCTGGCTCAGGCGAGTCCTTCAGCTCAGGAGCCACCAACATCATCAGACTTGGGGTTAGCTCTGAAAGGCTGGAAAAAAGAGGTCTGACAAATGCAGGTGCCATTGATAACCTGAGCTTGCTGCTCCCTGCATGGATTAGTTTTCCTCTAAGGGTTGTTTAAGTGCTCGGATGTTGCTGAGTTACAAACCCCCATATTCTGGGTACCACAAAGCATAATCTGCCATGGGCAGAGATACCAGACAAGCTGTTTTAGTTCAGCTCCCCACTCTCTGCTCAGTCATGTGCCCTCATCGTGCCTTAGGTCCCTAAAAGCAAAGATTATCTTAATTGTAATATAGTAATTCAATCTCAGAACAGCTACCAAGTGTGTGAAAGGTTCTTGGCTGGAAACAGTGACCTGGCCCACACTATAGGAAACTGGGAGCCTGAGGCTAGCCTGAGCCAAATTAAAGTCAGCAATACACAAACACACACAGTTTTACTGTGAGTGATTGCTGAGATAAGATAAACCCTTCTGAGATGGAGGCTGGAATGCTCCATTCCAGACAGGAGGCAGGAAGGAGAGAGAACCTCCTCTGCAGGTGATTGTACTCCACTGTGAGGGTGCTGAGGCGCTGGTACAGGGTGCCCAGGGAAGCTGTGGCTGCCCCATCCCTGGCAGTGTTCAAGGCCAGGTTGGACCCAGGGGCTTGGAGCAAGCTGCTCTAGTGGAAGGGGTCCCTGCCTGTGGCAGGGGTTAGAGCTGGGTGAGCTTTAAGCTCCCTTCAACCCAAACCAGTCTGGGATTCTGTGATTATTGTTAGATGCTAAAGGCCAACAGGCTGAAGGCAGAAGCTGCCTTCTCTGCTTCAGGTCTCCTGTGCAAGGTATGATTTGCATTCTAAGATATTTAAGCATCTCTGGTAAATTCAGTTTCTAGCAAATTAAACCATTCCTGACCCAGGCAGGAAACTCTCTCAGGCAACACCATCTCTTCTTTTCCCAAGTATTGCTAGGAATTAAGGAATTTCCACAGCAGGGAATGCCTGACACCACATTCCCAGGTTTCCTGCTTCCCAGGAAGGGGCTGCAAAGAAACCCAGCCTCCTCCCTCCTTGCTAGTCTGGCTGGGTCCTTCCCTGCTAAGCCAGCAGCCAGGCTTAGCAGCGCACCTTGACCAAAGCCTAAAAGAAGCCTCCTTTCCTGCATGGGTGGAATTCAAGCCTCGGAGCTGTTTGCAGGAAGCAGTTTCTGAGTGGTAACATTTGGATGCATTCGGGACTTGGAGCAAAATGAAGTTTTTAATCAGCACATTACTAATGCAATATGTGGCTTTAACCAGCCCAGATGGCTCAATGGGCTCTGCCTGTTTCCAACAGATTAGTTAATTAAAATAACCACTGAAGGGCTAATGGACTGGCTGTGGTGTGCATTGTTCTCTGAACAAGGCTGAACGTTTTACTGCTCACCAGGGGGGCTTGGTGCTAAAGAGAGAAACGAGCAGTGTTGGAGAAACAAGGAGGAAATGGGCTTTTTGGGAGGGGTTGGGAAGGCTCTTGTTTGTGTGTTCTGAAACCTCTGCAGTCACCAACCCGCCCTGATCAGCACTGAGGAATTTCTCAGCCTGTCATGTTCTCTAAGTAGGGAGAACAAATCTCCTCTGCCCCCCTAAGGAGAAGACTTTAGTAACTCCGCATCATCCAGCAGCAGGAATTCCTCGAGTGCCATGATCACTGGGTATGAGTGGTTCTGAAGGGCTGAACCTTCCCTGTGCTGCTAAAAGAGAAGCTTAGGCCTTCTGAAAGCCTGTCTCAGATGCCGGCTCTAAACGTCTTGAAAGGAAACTCAATTCTGTCTCCAGGATGGCCCAGGAAAGAATTCCACAAAGCCAGACCAAGGCAAGCCCTGAGAAGCATTAAGAGGAGGTAGGACTCTTTCTCTGCTATAGAATATATGTGCCAAATCCAATACTGTGACCTTAAGTACCGAGCCATCAGCAAAAGAACAGCAAACACATTTTCTTGCTGCTTTCAAGCTGTGCAGCCATCCTGGTGGGAAAATGTAGTGATTCCATCTCTTAAAAGCCTGTTTTCCTGTGCTGAATTCTTCCACTGGCTTGGCTGCACAGGAGATGGGATGGGAACATTGAAAACGTTACAAGGAACAATAAAAGCATTAAAGGGAAATAAAAAGTTGCTTCAATATCTGTCAGAACAAAGGGCAGGAGGAATTCTGGAACAAATGGAATAGAACAGTGTTCTTGTAACCAAAGCAAATACATTTATGCTCGTTATAAGGAAATGCAAGCAGTGGGGTAGGTTTATCAGTGTGCATCAGTGACTTCTCCCCTGTGGTATCTTATTTTATGGCTGCTTTGACGCACTGGAAAGCACAAGCTGCCTGTATCACTAATTCTGATGTGGGACAACAGCACTGCACTGCCTGATCTCCAAAGGGCTACTACAGGTGACAGCACTGCTCAGGTGGATCCATCAGTCAGCTGGAAGGAGCAATCAGTCTGGTACTTTGGAAAGGTTTCCATAGTTCAAACCCACCCCAAAAGACCAGAAATGTCATTGAGAATAATGGGCTATTAAAATTCCAACTGAAGGCTTTCTGTTGGGTGCAGTAAGTGCCATAAAGACAGTTCAGTTTATGGGAGCTGCAGCCCCCTCCCTGGAGATGAGGTGAGCTGTGATGCTGCTCTCTATAGTGATGGAGAAGTTCTGGGTGGAGAGGGCCAGGGGACAGAGATCAGTGTGTGTGAGGAGGGATGATAACAGGATCATCTCCAGACACCACACAGATCTCTCCATTTGCAAAGCCAAGGCAGGCTGCACATGCGCTGGTGAAGAATAAGAAAAGGAGAATTTATCTGCCATTAGCAGCATGGGAAAGGAAAGACTTCATCATGTCACCCAAGCACCTGCGTCCAACCTGGCCTTGAACACTGCCAGGGATGGGGCAGCCACAGCTTCTCTGGGCACCCTGTGCCAGCGCCTCAGCACCCTCACAGGGAAGAGCTTCTGCCTTATCTCCAACCTGAACTTCCCCTGTTTGTCTGAAACCATCACCCCTTGTTCTATCGCTGCAGTCCCTAATGAAGAGCCCCTCTCCAGCATCCTTGTAGCCCCCTTCAGACACTGGAAGGCATCATGGCCTATCCATGCTCTCTGCTGGACTTCCCACCATACATTCCTCCTACTCCTTTGCTTTCAAGTCCACTCCTGGTTTCTGCAGCAGTTAAACTGCCCAGAGAAAGCCCTGTTCTTGACTTGTGAACCCGCCTGAGCACACACTGCCTGTGCTCTGACTGGAGCAGCTCTGCAACGCACAGATGTTAATGCAGGATGTCATCTCCAATAGCCCATCTGAACAAGCAGCAATCAGCCTAACCCACCACAGCTCAATTGCTTCCTCGGTCTCTGTAACAGGTGCTGTCAAATAAATCTAGTGGATAAATCAGCCTCATTGTAACCATTAGGAAGGTTTTATAACTGCATTTGCTGAGTGGGAGGACAGTTTTTTCTCTGTTTTTTTAATGACAGCTAGCTAAAACCCATACTAATCACGAGAGACATGCAGTAAATGCCTCAGAGGTGAATCCCTGTTCATACTGGAATCTCTTAGTCCTGTTTATACTGAGAGCTCTTAGTCCTCCACTTATTTGAGGATTCTGAGGCAAAAAGAACCAAGCTCTTTGGACCCAGCCCAGTTTTCATCATGGATGGGCTGGGAGATGCCTAAATCAGTAGGGAGGCTGCCTGTATAATACTTTCACACTGAGCACCTTTGCATCACCTATGCTTTGTTATGGTGGCACAGCTCAGCCTTTCTTATTCCTGGCAGGACACTCCTGGGGATGGGATCCTGCAAAGGCATCTGCAGGGATGGAGCCAGTCCCCATTGCAGAAACTCTCTCTGCACTGTACTTGCAGCAAAATCCATCTTTGCTTTAAAACAGATTGCCCCTGAGTGTTTCCTTCCCATTCCTGCTCCTTTCACTTGTCAAATATTCATCAGAGTGTTCTGTAATTCTTTTCATAAAGCTCCATGGTCTGGAAAATGGATCAAGACAATGATACCTCATCAAGATCGGCTTCTCCTCCTGCGGGAGTTGCTTCCAACCCCAGTGCTTTGCAGTCAGATGAAGCAAGTGGAAGTGTCAGCTCCCTCTGAAAGGAGAGCAGTACTGGGCTGTCTGGGTACAGATGCACAGCAACGGAAGACGAGCAGATAGCAGCTCTGCAAGCTTATTCATTTAGAACTGTAAATACTGCAGCTCTGGGGGCACTGGGGCTGCTGCCAGCCAGGCAGGAGGGAGTCTGCAGGGCTCTGGGGAATTCAAAGTCCAGGAAGCAGAAAGTCAACAGAAAGAGGATTTCTGAAGAGAAGTCAAAAAGAGGAGAGGAACATGGGCTGAGCTGACAGGAGTCACCCAATGCCAACACCGCTTGACACCTTTGGCCATTCTTCTTTTCATGCCAGCAACAGATGTCACTGCTCACAAGTGACTAATGGCAACTCTGGGCATGGGGAAGAACTTGCCTCTGGGCACATGTGGAAATGCAAACCTAGAAAACCCAGTGAGATGCAAAGATACAGGAAAAGCAACAGTGCTGGGCCATGTTTAAAAGCCTTTACTACAGCATTTCCTTCTGGGAAGCCTCTAGTTTGTTCTGCAGGGTCTCTATTTGATCTGTAGAGCATTAAGCCCTGTATTTTCTGGCAAGGGCTGGCCATGGCTCAGGTATAACGAATGAAATGAGCAGGTAACAGTTGTGTACTTATAGGCTCAGCAGGCTGGTGTGCCAACAAATCTGAAAGCACTTGAGTGCTTTTGGCTCCAGAGCAGCATTGACAGTGGGGACATTCAAACTGCAGCATCTTCCAATCCACTTTGCAGAGTGAAAAATGAACTAAAACATGAAGATGTGGCAAAACAAGAACTGTGTGTCCAAGATCACTGTGTATATGGATAAACAAGGAAGTTCTGCATGAATTCCTGTGAAAGAGCTCACTCATCAGTGAAGACAAGGCAATGAGATCATTAGTTTGCTTAAGGTAATTGAGTTGAATATTGCTAGACATGTAATCCAGTGGCTTTTCATTAATGACACCAGATAGCTTTGAGGAAGTTGATGTCTACCAGGCACATGGGTGAGTATCTTTCTGTTTCCTGGAGACCTCCAACAACTCATCATAGAGCTGCTGCAATTAGAGACTGGCTCCTGCACCACAGCACCAGTGCAGCCCAGAGGACCAAGGTACAAGGTCTGTGGACTTGTCCCTGTATGGACCTGAATGATGTTGAAGGCTCCACCAAGACAAGGCTGCAGACTGCAGTGTGTTTGAGCTCCAGGCTTCCCAGCTGCTAATCCTACCTATGTGCCCCCTACAGGGCTTGCAAGACACCAGGATCTTTCTTGGAGACAATGGCATTTTCTGTCTCCAGGATGAGGATTTCACAACAAAAAAGTCCTCAAAATACCCAAAAAGAGAGGCAGATTCTCCTTATTTTGCTCAATACTGAGTGCTGGCTGGGCAACAAAATCTATAGTGAATTGTGAGATCAGCAGGGAAGGGAAGCACACAGAGGTGCTCTCTTCAGGATCCCATTCTCCTCTCATCAATGACTGTGAAGTTGCAGTGCTGCAAGCAAAGGAAACACTGAGAAAATCAGTAGTATTACTTACTACAGATGAAAGGTCCATGTTTACCATCCTCCTGTCCTCTAGGTCGACTGGCTGGAGGCCTGCAACATTGATCTGGGCAGAAGAGGTTCTGTACACAAACCCCAGAAGCCAGTCCCCCCTAGGAGCAGAGCAGAAGAGCATGAATAAATCCTGTTGCCAAAGCAAAGTAATTTGTAGAGATCACAGCAGGTTCCTAGGCCATGGTTGTGTAAGTCTGAATTGAATCCTGAGTCATGGGTGTAGCCTCTATTATGTGCAGCAGGTTGAAAAATCTGACCCTTCTATTCCTTTCTGTATTTGCTTAGAGATTGCAACACATTCACATATTTAACCTTTTTAATGTACTAACAGGTAGAACATTCTCCAGCCTGTAGAGAGCTGCCAGCGTGATGAGGCCTACACCACCAATGTTGCACATAAAGATCAACTGTGAAGCTCCTCGGGGTGCTCCTGATTTAGAGGTACAGTACAAACACATGGTTTCAATGACAGAATAAGGAAGAGTCTGTTCCCACTGTACAGCATAGCCATAAGTCACTGCAGCAGTGTCAGGGTGGACTGTAGCATGATGAGTCCTTTGGCAATAACCTCCTGGGCTGAGCAACAGTGTAAAATCTGTGCACCTAAACACTGTGGAGCAGATTTAAGCTGTGATGTTTGTACTCTGTGATGGCAGGAGGTGAAACACACCTGCACAGGTGTCCGTTTCTAGCTGCTCCTGTCCACTCCAAGATGGTCTATGTTAGAAATTGTAAATCTACAGAGAGCTCTGCAAAGTCTTTGCAATGCATCCTTGCTACTCAAGCATGGGTTCTTTCAAAGGCTGAGTGAGTCTGACTCATTTGGTTAAGGTTTCCCACTAGGAATTTGTAACCCTGCTGTGAAATGGGATGGGCCAGCTCTGACAGTTGGGTTTCACTCTCTGTGTCCTCTCAGGCTTCAGAGCTAAAGGAGACAAGTCACACTGGCCTGGAGTTCATCAAATTAACCCAAACAACTGTATGAGTCTGTGAAATTGGGCCCACACCTGATCGTGCAGGAATTCTATTCAGTGTAACTCATCTGATCTAAACACAGTTACTCCTAAAGTGACAGAACAAAGCCACAATTGGTATGAGTGAGCGACCAGAGGCATCAGGTGAAGTCATACCACTAAATCTTTGCATAATCCTTCTCTCATATCTAATAGACTCACATAAGTTCTCCCTATCTCTCAGCTACCTCCTCCAGCTGCCCTCTTGCTAACTTAGTAACCCTCAAATCCAACACTGAGGGCAAAGTGTAGAACCAGCAGAGTGGTGACAGGCTCCTCACCTGCTTCATCCTGTCTGGGAGCAACAAGCTACAATTTCTACATCATTTTGCATTCAACATTCGATTCATGAGCAGAGACAAACCAAACTACTGCACATACAGAGGCACAAACACACACACACAGTTTTATTCCAACAGCACACGCAGACTTTGGAACTATAACAAGATCTTTTGGGGGGATTTCGTACTGCAGGAAATGAATACACCAAGCTTTCTGGAGTGAAATTGGGGTTTGTATAAGACAGGCAGGAAGAATATTTGCCAGGGCAAATTCAGTTCCATGCTACAACTGCATCCAGCATTTCTGGCTGCTTGGAGGACCCCAGAAGCACTGCCAAGGAGGCAGGAATTGCCTTTTTCTTCTGTCACACGCAGAACTCCTGTCAGTGATTTGCACCTCCAGCGGCTGTAAAACCTCCTGTGATCCAGAAAGGACAAAAGCAACAATCTACAACCTCATCTTACACCTACATACACATAGAAATACACATGTATGTGTGTACAGAAAGTACCAGCAGCATTTTCAGCCCTCCTTGAACCAGGCTCATGGCTTTATAGGCTGCCTTGACTTGCAGTTACATGTTATTTACTAACCTTCTTGTCTGGTTATTTCTCACTTTAGTTTCTGCATACTTTTAGTCTTCCCTGCTTCATTCCTTCATTTTAATGTCTCCTTTTCCAATTGTGGTGGTAAGCAGTGTTCTGGTCACAATTATCTCCCAGTACAGAGTCATTAGATTTGATACCATCACTTGAATTCTTGATTAGCTTTTATAAGATTGCTTCAGCTGTTTCATGCCTCTGAATCTCCCTCTCCTCACCCAGCACACTCTGCAAAGCAGTGTTAAAGGCTGCTATTTGGTTTCAAGGTAATGTTTCTATTCTTCCCCATCCTTAGTAAATTTAGTACAACTATTCCAACTGTACCTCTTTTGTAAGTAAAATATCTTGGTCATATGGACTATCCTGACCAGAAACTGACTCTAGATATAAAAAGTCATCAATTTGCTTGAGCTCCTTCTCTTGCTCCCCACCAGCAGTCCCTGGTGAATTGTATCTCAGAGCTTTCTTAGATTTTAATTCTCATTCTTTACCTGTCAGTGAACTAAAGGGCTGTATTTGTAATCCTTTACACCAAGCTGAGATTGAAAGGGGCCTTAGAATATGTCAAATGATGCACACAAATACACTGACCCAGCTTTAAGCTGATATAACACAGCCACTGTACAAACAGGACACACGCACTGAGCACCTCAGGCTTCCTTTGCATCACAGAGAGCAGAGAGCTGGACACAGACCAGCCTTCAGTGTCTCCTGAAGACTGGCATCCAAAAGGATCTGAGGGAGAGACCCTCAGCAGGAAGAGGCTCTGACACTTGCCATCTCTGGTGCTACTGAATCAGTATACTCACCAGCTGAACAATTACTCACTTACAAATGTCTAAAAGAGATAAATTAATGAAATAATTTCAAAGTGATACCAGGACAATGAAGCACGTACAGACCTGCAGTAACCATTTATGATCCTGCCCGACACCACTTTTGCAATAGGCTTCCAGTACTTGGGATCTCCTTCCACTGGAGCTCCCAGTAAGACCACATCTTCAATGATGCCTTGGAAGTCTGTAAAGATGAAAGTAGAACAGCTCAGATTGAGCAGACAGATCAGGAAATGTATTTTAACACATCCGTAAAGGAGGGGGTAGGTTCTGATGTGTACTATGGAAAAATCATCACTTCTGTGATTTAAAGACAGGAGCAGCAGAAAGGAGGATCTTGAACATCATTCTGCATAAATTGTGTCTGCAGTTCAAGCTGGAGTCAGTAAATGTGAAAACTGGAAATCCTGACATAGTGAAAGGGGGAAGACTGATGGGAAGAGGGAGAAATGGCCTGGAATGGTTTGTATTGGAAGGGACCTTAAAGCCCATCCAGCTCCAACCCCTGCCACGGGCAGGGACACCTTCCACTGGAGCAGCTTGCTCCAAGCCCCTGTGTCCAACCTGGCCTTGAACACTGCCAGGGATGGGGCAGCCACAGCTTCTCTGGGCACCCTGTGCCAGCGCCTCAGCACCCTCACAGGGAAGAGCTTCTGCCTAAGAGCTCATCTCAGTCTCCCCTCTGGCAGGTTAAAGCCATTCCCCTTGGCCTGTCCCTACATCCCTTGTCCCAAGCCCCTCTCCAGGTTTCCTGCAGCCCCTTCAGGCACTGGAGCTGCTCTCAGGTCTCCCCTTCAGGAGCCTTCTCTTCTCCAGGCTGCCCCAGCCCAGCTCTCTCAGCCTGGCTCCAGAGCAGAGCTGCTCCAGCACTTGCAGCATCTCCGTGACCTCCTCTGGCCTTGCTCCAACAGCTCCACATCCCTCTTGTGCTGCTGCCCCAGAGCTGGATGCAGGTTGCAGTGGGGGACTCTCCAGACCCACTTTGATAATCTACCAAATTTGTTTGATTTTCATAAAGGGCACTTTAACCTGGGTGCCCAGGGCATGATTTGCTGAAAAGGAATGTTGACTTGGATGCATAATCAATCTTCCTCTTATCAGACAGCCACAGCTGGGCAATCCACCAGAAATCATGACTGAATGAGAAAATTTGGGCAGCTCTGCTACTTTCCTAAAATTCCAGTAAATATATTAATATCTATTCATAAATCATCTTGGTAAAGAGCTCAAGAGTGATAGCATAGAGCTAAATGAAATTCAGAGTCCTTGGAGGCTCATGGGCATAGCATGCCAAATCCATACTCGCCGGCCCTGGGAGCCCAGCATTCACAAGCTGTGAGCCAAACCATTCCCAGGCTGGCCTTTGCATGCTGTAAGCTGTATGCTGAAGTTTGTGGGGATGTGAAAGTGGGAATGAGCGCATAGCACCTCAAGTTTGGATGGGGAGGTGCTGCCTGACTTGGTTTTTTACACGTAAATCAATTGGTTTCCTTCCCCTGATAGCAGGAAAGGACTTGGAGCTGCATGCAGTGCCTGGGTCTTTCTCTGCAGTGTAAATCCCAGCACCTGCCAACAATCCAAAAGAGCTGCTGTGGTATTATTTCTTATTGCAACGCAAAGTTTGCACCAATGGAGAACAGCAAAGAGCTATTCCATTTTGGTAGTGTAATCTGAGAGCAATAAAGTCCTGTTCCCAGCAATCATGGGCAATGAAAAAGACGCTCAGAGCTTAGCCAAAAAGAAAAGAAACCCAAAGCCTCTCAAATGGCGAGCTTGTTCCAACCAAGGTACTAAATTCCCTGGCCATAGTGTGAACCAACTGAATAAACACACAGCTAATTCATCAGCATCCTGGACATTTGGGCAAGGCATTGGAAGCTTTTGTTTCTCCAGTGCTTTGTACAGCTTATTTCTTGCTTAGAACTAAAATGCTTGAAAAATACACACTTTGAATTGTTGACAGAAACCTGAGAACAGATCACTGACCTCTACAGTGCTGACACTCTTGTTTCCCAGTTTGCAAAACTGTTCCATGATGAAGAACAATAAAAGCTGCACAGGCAGGAAAATGAAGAAGAGGGGGCAAAAAATAAAACCTGGTAAGATCATAGAATCCCAGCCTGCTTTGTGTTGGAAGGGACCTTAAAGCTCATCCAGTTCCAACCCCCTGCCACTGGCAGGGACACCTTCCACTAGACCAGCTTGCTCCAAGCCCAGTCCAACCTGGCTTTGAACACTGCCAGGGACGGGGCAGATTTGCTGAAAAGGAATGTTAACTTTGATGCATAATAAATCTTCCTCTTATCAGACAGTCACAGCTGGGGGATTCCAGTAGAAATCATGATTGAATGAGAAATCTTGGGCAGCTCTGCTACCTTCCTAAAATCCCAACCAATATATCAATATCTATTCATAAATCATGTTGGTAAAGAGAGACCAAGAGTGATACCATAGAGCTAAATGAAATTCAGAGTCCTTGGGCACCTTCTCTGGGCACCCTGTGGCAGCTCCTCACCACCCTCACAGGGAAGAACTTCTTCAGCATTAGATAAATCAGTACACTGTGATTCGTCACCTAGTTTGGTTTCAAGGTTCAGGTTCTGGTGGTAACAGCAATTATCAATAGTTCACTCTACTTATTCACTAAATGCATGGGAATTGTGATGAAGAAGTATGACCAATAACCACCCTATGCAGTAACTTGTCTCTAACGGGTCATTGCTGCATCTTCTGCTCTAATACCATTTTCTGAAAACCTCCTGAGCTCTGGCTTCCAGAGTCATTTGTGATCAGCTATCCCAAAGGTTACTTCATTGCTTTGCAGAACAGTGTTTTCTGTGAACAGCATCTGAGTTTCTGCCATGGTGTTTCACTGGAGAATCCGTGCTTAGCTGTTTGTCCTCAGAAATGCCACTGCCATCTGGATACAAAAGGCTGCATGTCTAGGCCTTGTATTCCTTTTGTGTGAGACGTCCAAGCCCAAACCCAAACGAGTCTCAGATGTCGCAGGTCCCAGCTCCATTCCTTCTGCGGCTTGCGCTGGAATGTGCCTTGGCAATGTGCACTGAACATGCTGCTTTTCATCTCACCAACAGCTCAGCTTTCATAATTCAATTAAGGAACTGAAAGATCACTGTGCAGTGGGGAGCAGCTCTGATACATAATTACAATGCAAGATTTCCTTAGAATGGCAGCCAACCTTAAAGACCCCTAATGATTTCCTTTCCTGTATTCCTTAGCTACAGTCCCCTTATTCCAGCACGAGGCTGCACACCATTAAATAAAAACCTGGAAATATCCCAGCCCTTGGCATTCTTTGGACACAAGAAGAGTAGATTTAGGGCCAGATTAGGATCTGGGTTCTGGCTTTGGGAGAACTCCATTAGGATCGTTCTGGATTTGATTAGATTTATTTTGAGGCCACAATTCCTGTTTTTGAAGGCTCGGATCTGAAACCAGAAGTGAAGTTCTGGTACACAGCTGTCAAGAGAGAAACTGCTGACCTGCTCTGTCCTCACTTGACTCTATTCCCACCTTCTTGGCCTTTATTGAACATTTTCCTTTATAAAGCTCTTTATTTATTAGGGGCTCTTTGTGAGGCTGGATGGTTAATGAAGTAAACTGCCACAGAGGGGGAAGGCTGCAGGCACACACTCACTACTGACTCAACTCCAAGATGCAATTTGCATCAACTGATCATCATTTTATTCTCTTTCTAAATCAAAAATAGAATCTATTAATAAACAGAACCACAATGGGTAATAAATTGACAGATGGTTTTATACTTGACTTTGGGGAAAAATTACCATGAAAATAGCAGATGACAGTGGCATTTTAGTGACTTAAATGGAAGGGAGGACTCAGGGAATCAGCTACAATAGCTACAGAGAGCTTCCAATAAAGGCAAGCCATCCTCTGCCAAGATCACAGCATCGTGTGGGCAGCTCACAGACAGATCCAGCAGCTGAATGTCACTAAATGTCAAGTTGTTGTTTACAGACTGGAGACCAAACTGACACACTGAGCACCTCGAGTGAGCACAGTGGATTTAATCCACTGAATGTGCGGAAGTGACAGGAGAATTGGGCTCCAAATGCATTTCAAAACCTTTTTGTTTAAGGCTTTTGTCTTATACTAGAAGACTCAAGCTCTGTTCCAGAACTCTTTCTCTTCTGTAGATAGAAGGCAGAAGTTCTTCCCTGGGAGGGTGCTGAGGGGCTGGCCCAGGGTGCCCAGAGAAGCTGTGGCTGCCCCATCCCTGGCAGTGTTCAAGGCCAGGTTGGACACAGGGGCTTGGAGCAAGCTGCTCTAGTGGAAGGTGTCCCTGCCCGTGGCAGGGGTTGGAGCTGGAGGAGCTTTAAGGTCCCTTCCAACCCAAACCATGATTTGATTCTGTGATTCTCTTGGAAGAAAACCTTCTCTACTGGCAGTGAGGAAAATGAAGGTGAAAAAGGTTAGAAGGTGAGTTTTACCTTTTTCTTGAGCCATTTCCTGCAGGCAGAAGTAAATGACTCTTGCACCCAGACTGAAGCCAATCAGTGTGACAGGTCGCTTGCCCTACGAAAAAAAGGGAAGAAATGCCATCAAATACTATTCTATACCCAGAAAGAGACACTGGCCAGGTGATCCCCAAGACCCTGATCCACAAAACACACTTTGATATTTGATATCTTTTCGCTATTCAAAAAGTCAATTGAAAGAATCTAATGATCACAAGTTACAATAAAGTAGATGCTTCAAACAGAAACAAACCAGAAGCTGTCATTGGCTTGAGGTTTCCAAATGAAACCTAATTCAAGGATCAAAGTCTTCCTAGAAATGTTTCAATGAACAGAAAAAGGTGTAACACAAAAATATTGACTGCTTCTAGATTTGACTGAGTGACAGCAGCACCGTGTGGTTGTTCTACAAATGATGTGGGGTAAGCTAATGAGATTTTCTGTGAGATCTAAGGGAGTCTAAGCTCAACAAGAACATAAAATGCTCTTCGTGTTAAGGAGGGAGTAGGTGTGCAATGGACTCTTTAGCCATCATGCTATCTAGTTTGAGATGCTCCCAACATTGGAATGTGTGTTTTCACAATAGAGGATGCTTAAAAGGCAGAAACAAAAGCCCGCAAGCAAATCAAAGGGCTCATATGAAATCAAGTTTATTGCCTTTCCTTGTATTTATCAGGGTGCATTTTTAACACTCTTTACTCTCTTTCCCTTTTCACCTATCTTTACTTTCTGTTCTCAGGTTTCCACTAGGTGTGCTGGCCAGGCTGTTTGGTGAGCTGGTCAAGCCTCTTGTCAATTATGACCTGGATCTCCTCTTCTTCAATTAGAAAAGCTTAGGTTAAATGGTACAAATCTCTGATTTACTTGGGATCTCCTATTTTCCCCAATGAACCAGATTCATGCAGCATTTTTTTCATATTATTATTAGGGTTTTTGTCTCTGGAAAGATATCACTTGAGAGTTAAGGAGCATGACTCTAAAACTTAACCTCCACAGGCCATATCCCTTCCAGCCATTATTCCTGGATCATTTCTAACCAGTTACCTGCTGTCGACTGAGCAGGATATGTGCTAGGTGCTTGCCTACTTCAGCAGAGCGATGGAGACACACTCCCCAGGGGTTGTCAATGACACTGGCAACAGTCAAGAGCGAGGTTGGCCAAGTCAAAGCTGTCACAATACCTGCCACACACAAAGCAAACAGCACAGCAGAGTCACAAATCGGGGCTGCTCTTGGGAAACATCAAAAGCAAGACAGGTCACTGAAGTTGAAAGCTAAACCTGGGAACTTGTCATTTCCAGTTTCTTCTTTCTCAAGAGCTGATTTAAGCAATGTTTTGCTAGATGGAAGATAAGAAAGAAGCTGATGTTCTGATATGGAGACAAACAGACACTGTGCATGAATGTAACCTGCATGTCTGAAAGCTTTATGTAAAGCAGTAAAACCCAGTGTAACAACAGAGAGAAATAAACACAGTCACACGTCAAGGAAGGTGTTTCCAGCTGTCATTTTGAAGGAATGAGACAATGACACAGAGGCACAGCAGGACAGGAAAGCAAATCTAAACTATAGGTGTGGCTGAGGATCTCAGCTACTCCTTTAAACAGACACCAACACTGAAACTGCACAAGAGCCACTCGAACGGATCTGATGTGATTTAGGTCCTTACCTGACAAGACAGTAAATTTTAGGGCTTCTTGAGCCATCATGTTCACAAAACCATTCAGCAGGGTATCCAAGGCATTGCCAAGCTCCATCAAGTACTTGGATTCCCAGGCCAGACAATACTGCTCACTCGACTGCAACATGCTGCTCCATGGTGCTGTGAAGCTCCCTGAGGAAGGTTGCAAAGATAGAATCTATAGTCAGAGAAAGCACAACAGCGGCTTACTCATGGAAGTCATGCCTGAAGCCATGGCTACAAGAGGTCACCCTGGCTGGATGAGCCCAACAGAGAATTAGAAAAGAACCTGGAATGCACTGATCTACTGTGAAAATCAGGAATCATATTTAAAAATAAAGATTTAGACTCTGTATTTGCACTGGTTTTGGTCTCTGTAAGTAACTGTGTAGCTTTAGCTGCCTTGGCAAAGAGGCTTCAGCATCGACAGGCTCAGAATTCATGACCCATTCAATTGATTCAGAGACTGCAAAGACAGATGGACATTAACACTAATTATGTCAGGTATTAAGGACATTCCTCCTATCATTAGCCATCAGGCTGAGTCCTGCAGCTCCACCTTCTAATGTAGGCCAAAGGAAGGCCTGTCTTGAGAAAGATGAGTGCTGAATGGCTGCGTGGACTGAGCTCAATGGGACCAGAGGCATGGAAAACACATAAGATCTTGTCAAAATCCACTGCAGAGCAATTTCCTAGCACTTGAGTGAGGTGGGCAAAGACTGCAGCAATGATCCTGTCTGAAAACAAGCACATCCAGCCTGCAGTCAGTTTTACTTTGCCATTCAGCTGCTTCAGTCGAGTTGTTTTCCCTCCAGGTGTTAACCCCTTCCCATACTGCTCCTTCTCCAAAGGGTGCAGGGCAGAGAGCCCCACGTCAGATCATACCACAATATACTCTCAGCTCTGTGAACATCCAGAGAGGCAGCTTCTGAGAGCTCAAAACTCACAAGGCAGTGAATTCCCTAAAAATCCCATCCTGTTTTAAGGAGTCATGGGAGTGTGTAAATAGACAGATACAGCTGTAAGGAGGAAAAGGGATGACAATCCTAATTTTGCTTTTGAAAACATTATAGCAGATTGCTAGTTATGGAAGAAGAATGTGTGTCATTTGTAACTCCCTTTTAAGGGCAAACAGACACAAAAGGGGTCCTGAAGGGACACACTTGTCTTTGTAACAGTGCCTGGGAACCCTCCAACCCTGAGGATCTGGACCCCTGGCAAGCAGACAATGAGAGAAACCAAAGCAGAGCACTGCAAAGTGAAAATAACCTTAATCTGACAGCAAGCTGCAACCTAACAAGGGGGAGGACAGAGACATCTTTCTGCATTAATGATACCCAGTGTTAATTATGAGGCTTTGGAAGAAACTGGCAGCTGTTCAGTCAGGTTCTGAACCTATCAGACAGTTGGCATATTTTATGTGACAAGCTGTATTGGCAAACAAAACACTACAGACCTTTGAAGGTTGCTGCCTGGAAGTTTTGAGTGTTGTGTTTAACAGGGTATCCTTCACAGAACTTTCTTGCCAACAAAGCTCATTAGGTGGCAGACACAGGAGAAAGATACTCTTTTCTGTTAATTACTGGAGGAGAAACATAAGGTCTCCAAGCTAGGTGAGACACTTTGTACTAGTGCTGGAAATGATCCACCCCAAACAGACCGTTCCTAGCTAAACCATATAGCATTTATCAACAGAAACAATCCTGCTCTGACTAGCACTCCTATTATCACTACCAATTTAGTGTCCTCTCTCTTTCCTCTGCTTTGACTGCGACTGCAGACTGGGTTACAAAGTCTCATGTTGAGAGGGGATCTGTTTTAGTCGCCAGGCCATGCAAGTATGGGGAAGCCATGGCTATGAGAGCACAAACACTGCCTGGAGTGGGATCCAGACATGGCTCTCAGGCTTCACTTGGTTTCCTCATCTTATTCTTACCATATTTGCCAGGGCACAGCCATCCAGTAATTGCTATGGTGATGTGAAGCTGCTTTCCTTCAGTAAGTGGGAGGAATTCAAACTCTTCTATGGCTCCCACACGCTTCTTCATCTTGTACCCTACAAACAGCAAGGCAGAAACACAAATTGAGAAATCACACAGCAAGGACAGACTCTGCTAACAGTAGACGTTCAGAGTAACTTGGGATAGGGTTGTTTTTCCCTTTCCAAAACCCTCAGCTAGTCCATGCATTACTTAGAACTTGGTATGGAGCCAGCCTGATCCTTCTGAGCTTGTGCAATCTGAAGCAACCAGCAGAAGGCTTTTTTGCTGCAGACCAGACATCAGATGTAGGAGCTGCTGCTTTCCATGGCAGCATCTTTCTAACCTATAGCAGCAAGCTTTCATTTCCTTCATTTCCCATCCCTGGCAGTGTTCAAGGCCAGGTTGGAGAGGGCTTGGAGCAATCTGGTTTAGTGAAAGGTTGCCCACGGCAGGGGTTTGGAATTGGATGAGCTTAAGGTCCTTTCCAACCTAAAATATTCTATGACCTTGTGCCTCAGTAGCTGAGAAATGTGTGGTCACCCTCTTACCAGTAAGGCCAGCTCCAGCTGCTCCAAAAAGTGATGCCATGACAGCAATTCCAGCAGTTGAACCTAAAGCAGCTGCTCCAGCACTTCCTATGACTGTAGCAGCTCCTGCAGCAACCAGGGGGGCAGCAAGACCCCCTGTCAAGCCTGAAGATGCAACAAGTAACATCACTAGATTATTATGACTTCTAAAATCAGGCAGTCGACTCCCCGTGCTGTGTGAGTGCTCCTAATGCTACTGAAGGAGTACAGATGATGGTCTTTTTGGCGTCACTGACAAAGGGGCTTTCTGAGTCCTTCCCCAGGCCCTGAGTCTCTGCACAGATTCTCTGAATGACTTCAGCAGAAATGAAAGTCAGAGTGTGAGGTAGCCTGGGGTGAGATGTGCCCTGTTTGCTTAGGAAATATTGATCTAGTCTCACACTGTTTTGAGTTGAGAGTTGAAGATCTGATCCACTTATAACACACAGGATAAGAGTGAAAAGGGAGAAAACATGTTTTAAGGGTGACAACCTCAGTGTAATACTTCCCCCAGCCAGTGAAGCTACGCTGGAATAACTTTCCCAGCTAATTCTTTCCTTTTTAGAGTTGTGTGGATGAAACTTCTTTTGGATTTGGGGTTTCTCCTGTTGCTGTGGGGGTTTTTGTTGTTGGTTGGATGATTAGGGTGGGTGTTTTGCGATCTGAAGCAACATACTGTCTTCAGTTTGGCAAAGGAAAGCAGTGAATGTTTTAAAACTAGAGCATGGGCTCAAAGTTGTGATGGTTTCTGCTGCTGGATGTGTAACTCAGTCATAGCCTCCCCCCTCTGCCCCTAGTGCTGTGCATGCAGTTCAGGCCTGCAGGTCTCCAAAGCGCCTGGGGCAGCCTCACCAATCACTGTTCCGCCTCCAACGGTTGCCAGACCGATGAGCAGGTACCTCTTCAACTTCTTCCTTCTTTCCTTCTTTTTTCTTGCTGCTTCTGCAGTTCTGGATGGGGATTAGAATCACAAACACTGATGGAAAAGCCTGACGGATTACAGTGCTGCATCAGAGCCTGCTTTTATTCTCCTCAGTGTAATCTCCCAACTGGGAACAATAAAAAGTAACATGCAGGTGTGGACTGTGACAACACACTCAGATTCATGAGCATGGACATAAACCCACAGATGTACACTGAAAGGATTTAATTGCTGACAAAAGCCAACAGATGTTACTTACTTGGAAAACCCTTCCTAATAGGAATGAAGCTTGTAAGAAATAAGAAACAAAAAGTCAAAGCCATTTTAATAACTATATACTGCCTATGTGTCATAAACTAACACAAGAAAGTGAAGTGGGAACAGGGAAAAGTGTTTGGAACAAAAGGGAATAGGGGGAATTTGGACTAACAAACACTGAATTGAACTATTTCCCAGCAACAGAGTGTATATTGAGCTGCTTTCGAATTGCACATCACAATGTAATAATAGAATAGGTATTAAACAGTCATTAGTTCCTTTGTCTGTGTGCATTTAAGCTACATTTTAACAGGCTTATCAGGAATAGGTAAATCAACCTAAAAGGAGCAAATATCACTTATTAGGTACTACTTTTGGCTTCTCTCCACTGTCTTTCATTTCTCTTTTACCAGAAATGCTTCCCCCTTCAAAGGAAAGTGCAAGAAACAGAGTATATTGGAATAAGTTGTTTACAGAGGAAGGTTCTTTCCAGCCTGCTTACGCAGAGGTTAATCTGAGCCTCGAAACACGAGAATTTAGCTTGCTTCCAAACTTGGATATTTTCCCTCGTAATCCTAGCCTAATTGTGGATTTCCATTACCCATATAATTGCCTAATCCTTCCTGGAACCCCCTAAGCACACTGTAATTTTGATAAAGACAATTTGAGATGAGTCCCAAACAATATACAGCTTTGTACAACACAGCAGGAGGAGAATGAAGCACAGTGGGTGAAATCCCTGCGTCGCTGAAGTCAGCGGCAGAACTCCCACTGACTTGCATGGCACCGAGGCTTTGTCTCCACAGAGATGTTCCAAAAAAGCCTCCATCATGTATTACCTTCTGCAGCTGCAGACATTAACTGTCTGCAGAGAACAACACTGCAGCCTGCAGTGGGCGCTTCTGCAGTTTCTAAGTATAACTAAGTTCACTTGCTACACCCCCATGGTCAAAGGGGAGTTTGGATGTGCCCTGGTTTGTGCATGCAGTCCCTCATCAGAAGGCTGGCTTTGGAAGAAACCATTCCTGGTGTTCTTCAAACAAGTGCTGCAGTCTAATACCTAAGTTGGCAATATCCAGCAATTTCTGTTCTGCAGAGTGGTTCATCAGCTTTTATAGTCAATATGCTGTTGCTCCAGAGAGCTGAAATACACCTTTATTTCCAATAATGAGCAATTTGTGTTATTATAAAGATAGCTTGCAGCTAAATCCTGCCTGAAGATGCAGTAAGTAAAACTACTGTCATGACAAGTTTTACCTTCCATTGCTTTCCTTCTGTAGCTGTTAGCAACTGCTTTTGCTTCCCTAATAGCTTCTGCATTACAATTATCCCTTGATTGCTGCTTTTCATCCACTGTGGTAATTAACTGCCTCTTCTCATACTTCTCTGCCCTCAGTGATCTTGGTGGTGCAGGCTCTTGCCTGAACCACAAATTACATTCAGAGAGACTTTATGGGTGGAATTTCAGGTCATTTTCCAGTGATGAAAAGTGGCATAAGAACACATGAGTGAGCCACTGATGTCCTGTTTTCCAGTTTCTTGCAGAACCCTGTAACAAGGAGAGGCACACACCTGCAAGTCAGGACAGGCTTGGTGCTGATAATACGGATTTAAGTGTCTGGAGCATTGTTCTACAGAGGACTGTACATTTAGCCTTGCAGGTTCTGGGCCACAGTCCAACACATCCTCAGCAGCAAAGGCAGGAGGACAAATACCAGTAAGAAACACCTATGCAGAAGCTGCCAAAACCCTGTTTGGTTGTTACTGTTACAAAACCTCTTCTAGTGGCTGGTCAACGCTGGAAGCATCCTAAGCAGGTATCAATGTACTCCCTGCCTCCAAAAGGTCTCTGAGATCAAAGCGCTGACAGGTTCATGTTCTGCTTGCCTTCCCCATTGACTCCTAATTTTAAAACAAGCAAAGGGTTATTGATTTCCCACAGATCTCTGCCTTGTTTCAGCACTGCAGAAATGGACTCTCACTATAAAGACATTTTTTTCCTTTTATATCATAGGTATTTACTTCCATGGCTGCAATTTGGGCAAAGAACAAGAGTGAAATCCATAGTTTTCACCATACACAAAACCCACTGGAGCTAGCTGCAGTGTTTGAAAGCCATGTTTGTAAATATGCAGCATAATTCACCAGCTTCTCTTGTCGCTATCAGACACACTGCTATATCTTTCAGTGCTACAGCATCCACAGTCCAGTCAATACAGAATTACCACCCTCAGTATTGGGGTTTTGCTGTGCTAAAAGCCCAGGACTGAGTTTGTTTCCACAAGCCACAGCAAAACAGTCCCCATTAATAGCAACCCTTGCTCCTGCATGCTAGATGGTGTCCCGTTTAGCAGTCCATGATCTCCGAGATTATTCTGACTTTCCCTTTTTACAGTGTGCTATAAAGTTAACCTTTATTTAAATAAAGCTCTAACTAAAAGATCCCCATCACATGCTTGGACTCCACGGTAATATCTGAGCTGTACTGTGTCAGGGACATTGATTAAAGCCTTTATTAGCACACAGGTTAATCTCATAGCCCGTCTGCTGAGCTGACAGGCAAAAATAGTCAATGACCCCTTGGAAAGTCCACTATTGACGTATTTACTGCCTCACGCTAAACCTTTGTACAATTCCTGCCTGATGAGTGGAATGTAAAAAGACTACATTTCTTACAGATACCAACAACTTTTTGGCTGTTTCACATCTAAGAAGTGGTGATCTAGAGAATAGATCTATTAATAACACAGAATTAAGAGTCAGATCTGCAAGTATCTAAAGTTGCAGGCTATTGCCCCCAGATACCATTAGGAATTGGACAACTGTCTTTAAACAGACACAGAGGACAGATCCATAGGAAATAAGCAGCTGAGGATCTAACCCTGACATTTATAGGAACTTCATTCTGCAAGAGGCAGTTCTAGCTGAAGATACTGGGACAAGAGATGAGATACAAGACTCTACAGCCTAGGAGAGGCAACTGGAACAAGGATGTGAGGTAGTTCAATGTGCAGTGGCCCTTACCAGCTTGCAAAGTTGGGTCTCAGCTCAGATTTTAAGACAGCTGAGCCTTCCTGCTCCTCAGTGCAGCTCAAGTGCTGTGAGGGCTCTGCAACCCTAATCAAGCCACAAATCATTACACTAACGGGCACGAGGGGAATGATCAGAGACTGGACTTAGGCACAAGAGATTACTGCTGAGCTTTCAAGCAAGACTCCATAGTCAACTCAAATGTTCTTACTCTGACTCTTCCTCTTTTTGTTCCTTCAGGCTTTCAAGCAGAGATTCCTCCAGGACTTCCAGCTCCTCCAAGGGGATTCTAAGCAGCCAGGTGATGTGGCAGATCAACACCCTGGCTCGAGCATCGTAGTGCCCTGAAAGAGAGGGAAGAGCAGGAAATCAATCAGCCTTCATCAACCAGATTAGACAGCAAGTATCTCACTCAGCTGTGCTAGAGGATCATGTCATATACAAGCATAGCTCCTTCCCTTGGGCCCTCTTCTTCTTCCGTGTCTTTGAACACAACTCCTATTATCTAGAGAAGAGAGTGATAAATGGGAAATCCTCTGCCCTGCAAACCTCCTCCTGCAAACAATCATGGCACCAGGTAATTGCCTCTATGGCAGAAAGAGGATCTCAAATCCTTCTGTCTTTATCCTCTGTGACAGAGGCCTTTTGGCTCTGGATAGGCTGCATCTTCCTTCTCAACAGAGAAATGCTTCAGCAAGGCTAGGAGTAGCAAATATATGTATGTGTAACATGACACAGTACACCTCAACTATGCACCAATGCAAGATATTATATGCTTAAAATGCACCTTTAAAATCTTTATATTTAATTCATCTTGCTGGCAGTAGGAGTTTAAAGCTACCCACAAGCTCACCCAGCAGCATCACTGCATACCTTGCTGCAGGAGATGCTGGAGTGGACAGTGCACTCAGACAACATGTGACAGGAGCAATGATTACTCCTGTGCTTATAAGCAGGTGCTCTTAAAGAAAAGACATTTTCAATGTAATAGATGTTAAATGATTTGTGCAACTCTTGCTTTCTGAATTTGTTTCAGTAGCACCTGCTGCTTCCCAGTGGGAGGCTTTTGACAAAGTTCTTGCTGCACTCTGGGATGAAAAATGCAATTGCTTGTCTAGGGTGTCTGGAAGATACCAGCAAGAACCAACTACAAAAACGGTTTCTGATACCCGCTGCACGTAGATCAAATATGGCATTGGGCAATTGATTAAGTATCTGTGTTTATTACCATCATTACCAAGATACCAAACTACTCTGGTAGGCTTTAATGACACTACTTTAAAGATTTGTGCTTGGTTGAGAAATAAGGATAAGGATTTATCTTCACTTCATCCCTGATATGTGTCACATCTTGCAAGCCCAAGCATGTGTTCCTTCCTTCTTGCTTCCTGTCTGCTAATCCACAACCTAGCTTTTTACTCAGCCAGCTTGGCAGCAAATCAGCCAGGCTTGAAAATATATTTCTTTTCAATTCCAGCTTAGCAAAATAAGTAGTTTTGCAATAACTGCCTTGTTGATTTTCCATGAAAAATAAAGCAAGCACAAAAATGGTACTTAGTTCTGCAGTGACACAGGCTAATGAGCACCCAGTGAGTTCATTCCTGTGAGAACATGTGAAAACAGCGATTTAAACCCTGCAAGTGGTGATATAAACCAGGCTACTTTTAGAAATGAACCGTTTGTTCAGTAGGCAGTCTCCATTTCATGAAGTTTATCAGACTAATCCATGGTACGACTGGAAAGCAGAAAATTGTTTTATGTGTAATGTCATAGATGACTAAAATCACATTTATTTATAACGGGTTCCACAGGACACTCAGGAATTTATTCCCTGAATAGTTTTTGGTTTTCTTTTTAGGCAAAAAGTGATGTGCAGAAAATCTGCTGGCATTTTCCTCCCAGCTTTCCTGTCTTCCTAAAGAAAGAGGTCACCTGCTTGCCTGGAAACACTGGAGAAACCCCATCCCACTCTGGGTATTTCAGTTCAGAACTTCTCTGCCACCACATTTGTATACCAGTACATGGCATGTGAAGGTAAGGAGATAAACAATTCCATTTTTAACAGGTATGATTAATGATTTGTAATAAAGGAGCTGCTTTTCCTGAGGTGGATGCAGGGACAGAGTGTGCTGCTTTTGCCAGAAGGGAAGCTAAGATTAAACAGGATGGTACCTTGAGCTCTTTGAGCATTTTTAAGTACCAAATGTAAACTCATCAACATTATTTTCACAAAGACCAAATGCAAAGTGAACTTACCATCTCTGAGAGAGAAGGACAGAAGGTCCTAAAAGGCAAAAAAGAATATTTAAGTTAAAAGTGATGATATATGAGTGGAGGTATCAAAGCAGAGGCATGAAAATCCATTGGACTATGATTCAATTACTGCAGGATCACAGCTAATCAATATGGGAAGGCAGCAAGCTGCAGTTCAGCGAGGCAACACTGAGCAAAGCCAGGCACTTCTAGTACAAAATTCTCCATATGCAGGTACAAATGGCTGGAGAGAAGTAGATAATACTTGGCATATGCTGAGGCATCCCATAATTTTTGTTATTAGTGATCCTGTTTCAATTGAAAGCACTGTGACTACACTGGACATGGTCATATATTGTCACATATACTCCTGTTCTCAGTGAGGAACAGGTCTGAATGGACCAGTGGCCCCTATTTTCTTTGGCATTCTGAGAATTCATAGCTCTAGGCAGTAAGTCTGAACTGGCATGAAGTTCTGTTGGATGAAATGCTCCAAAATAGAAAACTCAGAATTTATGACCATCTGTTAAGGCTGAGGGACTTGACTTCTGTGCTGGCTCTTAACCATAAAAAGAATTTGAAAAACAAATCAATCTAATAGATGGTTTCTATGGAAAAAGCCATGAAAAAGAGGGCAGTGGTTTTACTACTGTGTTCTCTTTTATTGTCCCTGGACAAATGTGAAGTTCTTTCTGTAGCTACAACACTAAGCACTTGCTCAGTCTAGCTGCTTCCCTCTCCTACACACAAAAAAGGCAGAGCTGAATTTTACACGGAATCCTTCAGCCCTTTGGGAACACAAAAAAATGCAGCCAAAGATGTAGGAGGCTGCCAGGGAATTTATGGTTATTGGTCCCAGAAGCTCCTGAGGAAAATTTGTTTTGTAAAAATGTCTCTAATCTTTTCCCTGCTGCATGAGAAGTGCAGAAGGGAAAACAAACCATCCTTAATCAACTCCTGCTACATGAGGGGCAACTGGAGATACTATCCAGGCAAAAGGAGGTGTCTGGGCTCCAACTATCATTTTAACATGAGAAGAGTCTGCTACTTCATAAAGGCAAAGAGAGCTCTGGCATTTTGGGGAAACCAAAGGATTAGGGCAGCTGAGCTCCCACCTATGCATGCTTTTTCACCAGGTATAGCCCTAAAACCTTCACTTCACTGCTGCCTAATGTTTTCACACACCCGTACTCTACTGCTGAGTATCTGTTCCCATCCACAGAGAAGACTTCTATTGCTTGCCTGTCCTGTAACCTAATGGGATAGGATTTCCAGAAGGTAACCTAATGGGATAAGGGTTTCCAGAAGGTATCTGCTGGGCTGGGCACAAAGCAGTCATCACTGCTCCTTCATCCTGCACCCCCACGGCCAGAGCGCTCACCCAAGAGAAGCCCTGGTTTTCTATTTCCAGTGTGTGAATAAGCCTTTGAAGTTAAGTTAGTCACTGAATCAGGCCTCCTCTGTGCCCCTAACAACAAAGAAGTGTGAGCAGCAGGTTGAGGGAGGGGATTCTCCCTCTCTGCTGGCCTAAGTATTTCCATTCATGCATTTCAAAAGGGGAGGGATGGATACAGGTAATCAGGTGATAAACTGGAACTCCTGTTTTTATTGCATCTGCACCAGTGAGCATTCTCAGCTCTTTGGAGCTGGTTTAGGCTTCGCACATACTGCTGTGCAGTCATCTTGAACCCAGTCAGCACTGATTAGATTACTTCACAATTAGTTTGGCTTCCTCCTCTAAGCAGCAGTTATTATATTTCAGTCTTATTTTGAGGTTGGTGCTTTCAATCTCCATGAGAATACCATGCACAAGACTTTCACCTGTAGGACTGAGAAACCTTACTAAAAAAGGGGAGAAATCTTTGTTCAGTCTTACCAGGTTTTGATGAATTGTTGCAAGTTCAAAACCCATTCTTCACCAACAGAAAGCACCCAAGCACAAAACACAGGAAAATGGGCATTCTGAGTATGTTCAGAGAAAACCCAATGAATTCAGAATAAGATGTTTCAACATTTTCTTACCTATCATCACCTCTTTTTGTAGCACTGCCTTCTAATACTGCACCCACAGCTTGTGTGTTATGACTGCTGTCCTGAAAGGGTGCAGTTAACCAACCTGTATTAGTTTTAAGCTTGTATTAAGCCTGTATTAGTCATCCTCAAAGAATGCAAAGAAAGATAAATATCCATAATCCTCAAATGTTCACTGAATCAATGTGAGCTCACCTCTAATCTCCTGACTTCACGGATCAGCCCTTCAGCACCTTTGAGATGGAGGGCATTCAAAACTGCCAGCATCAGCACAGACAGGACCCTGCCACTGAACACACAGAGCAATTGAAGTGTGTACTTGTTAAAGAAACAGTAAATCCTGCATCACTGGCAGTGAATACAGAGAAATGAGAGCACCATAAAGCAACATAGCAAGAATTCACACCACTCTGACCCATAGCTCGCTTATTTTCAGGTAAGAAGGAAAAAGCTGATCCCAGCTTGATACACTGAGGCTTCCCACACGCCAGTATGTGTTCCCAAAGACATCCTGCAAGCCTCTGCTGTGTTGTCTGACAAAAGTCTTTCTAATTCTCAAAGTCTTTAATTCCATCTTTCTTGGATCACCTTGCCCATAGATATGCGTGCATACGGTATAGATGTTATGGAATTAAACTGACAGCTCTTCCTGCTCTTTACTTTCAACTAATCAAAGAACTGTTATCTCTAGCTCCTGTGTTCCACCCGAATCCAGGTGATAAGTGCCTCAGTTCTCTGGCTCAGAGCAAATACCACATGCTACTACTAATCCAGAGCCGCTTTTGTAAAAGCACATGGCGCCCTCATGCAACATAAACTTAGAGCAAGCACACACTAAATTCCACCAAAATTTCACCCTTAAATTCAGCAGCAATGCAGGAAGACTTGATCAAATCTACAAAATTCATCCTGAAGCAGAGAGAACAAGGGAAACAACCCGGGAAATACCAAGCCATCTAAATGCAGGAAGAACCGAGCGTGGCTTTACTAGTAAAGTTCTGAGCAAACAACACCAAAAGAGCTGCTCTTATTTTAGAAGATCTGTCCTAACTTATTAATTAAGCTTAAGATTCAGTGCTACTGTACTCAGACTATCACAGGACTTTGGGCACTATAACACTGGATCTTTGGAACAGAGCTTCTGAGGCCTTTTATGGCTTAGGAGACATCGAAGATGGCAGAGATAATGGAAGCTGGTCATGATGACCAAGACAATTCACTCCTATCATGTTCTGACATATGCTGCTCTGCCAGACAGGAGTGTGTGATTACTCAATATCACTGTATGCAACGGTGTCTTGCTGCTTCTTGTGTGCAGCATGTGAGGTGACAGTGGCCACATTATGCATGGCAGCAGCAGCCTACTGTGCTTTTCTCCCCCTGTGGCACAAGATGAGGCTGGATGAGGAGATATCTTCCCCAGATGAGACTGCAGCAAAAGGTGAATGCCAGTGAAATGCTTCACCTCTTTAATCTTTGCGTCAGCTTTCACATCAGAACATTTATGGAGCATTCCCAGTCTCACTAATACTTTCTCAGTGGAAGAAAATAAAGTCAAAAATAACTTAATTCCTTCTGGCCAAAGCTGACTCTGGAAAAAAGACTGGATATTCTTAGAATGAAATTGTGCTGTTTGGAGCATGTATGTAGAGGTGTTTTGTCTTACAGATATGGTGAAGGGTTTTTAAACAAGTGAAAATCAGGTCTATCATGTTCAGTGTTTCACCAAGATCTGTTGAACCCTCACAGGAATCAGAACCATTGCAATAATACAGTCAAAGGAAAAAGTCTGACAGTTTTCTATTCCTTAGAGCAAGAGCATCAAAGGCACAAAACATTAATTCAACAGACAGTAACTGTGCCTCGTGCTCATCACTTTTGTGAGCTCTTTATGGATAGAGAGAATGCCAGTCACCCACACGGCTCCTCAGAAATATATGCATACCAGAAATACTGTGCAAACAGAACCTCAGTGTCAGACAGACACGTATGACAAAGCTCTTCTGCAAAAGCAAACAAGAGCGAGGGGAGCTCATGAACTTACTTGGGTGATGACAACAGGATTTTCTTTCAAGACAGGATCCTGCAGCAAAAGCTGGGCAAAAGTTTCTGTGCCTTCACCTCCTAGGCCATTAGCAAATGCTGTCATGGCAGGTAAGACAGCATCAGGCAGGTGCAGCCACTTCACAAAGCCCTCAATGAATCCCATCCGGAAGGAGCTGTAAGGCAAGAACTGCAGTCAATCTCCACAACTGTGTATTTTGGCAGGTCTCTGGTTTCAAACATTGATCTGTTCACACAAAAATCAAAGCACCGTAAGAGGTCAGCAGAAGGCAAATTGCTACACTAGCTGGCCAAACAAACAAACGAACAACCTGAACGGAGCCAGACCTTGCTTCAAGACAGGCTTTGAAGTCTGTAGTATTGTGCTGAAGTATGAAAGGCTTAAAGGTGTAAGAGAGAAAGTCAGTACTATTAACACCTAATGTCAAGAGGATCTTCCACTCCCCTAACTTCAGAAGACCCCACGCAGAGTCTGATATCAGCTCCATCTGAGCTGCTACATCTCCTTTCCTCACCCCTCGCTACCCCATGAAATACCTTTGCTCTTCTTCAGGGAAGAGCCATGCAAGGGATATCCCACAAAGTGCTGCATAAGCAAATCTTCCTGGCTCAGCCAGCTGCTGGCTCAGAAGCACACCCGGTTCCTTTTCACCTGCCTCTCCAGGCCCACTGTCCTGCTTTGAAGACAAACCTTTCCACTTCTCTTCTGCAGCCATTTTTACCTGCAAGAACAAAGAGAAAAGTAGAAGGAAAAAAAAATCAAAAGCAAACAACAAACAGTTGGAAACCAGGAAGCAAAGACACAAAATGCCAGTGATTTTTCACTGTCACACTTGTATTAAATCAAGTCTGTCAAGGGCCTGCTTGTGTATCCCCCACCACATGGCACTGTGACCAAAGAAGACAACTTTCTTCAGGGACACTTTCAGTTCACCAGTTCTCAGTGCTCAGCACAAAACGAGCTGACAATACTTCATGCAGCAAAGCGTAAGTCAGAGCTCCATTCAGGCATATCCTTCACGTGTTCATCACAAAAATCACATGTAAAATAAAAGCTCTGCAGGGGCTGCCTGGGAAATAATTTGCCTTCTTCATCCTCAATCCAAATTGCTCCTGTATTTGCTGATAGCATCAAGAAAGTGGAGTCCAGCTGCAGCCTCAAATGGAAAGGACATTTAATGCGCCCTATGGACATTGCCATGTTTTGCTTGTGCCATTCTCTCCCCTATACAACCTGCCACTGCTTTGTCCCTAAACATAAATTCCCTGCACCACACAGACCTTGAGCTGAGCCAAAATCCTGGTTTTTAGAGCACAGACATTCACACTTCCAACCAAACATCCTGTAACTGCTCCTCAGGAGCTGCCCTGGTTATACAAGAGGCTAATCAAGCTGACTGAAATCAGGAGATGTGACAACAGCTCGTTTCACAATTCAGTGTAACAACCTGCTCCAAAGCTTTGCTCACATCACCTGAAATGTCTACTGACTTCATCAAGATTCAATTGGTTTCTAAGTATATTTCATTATATACTTCCTATTTAAATGCTTCCTTCCTTCCAAGCCATGTAAGAAGTGGCTAAATAGGAATTAGGAGCCTGTGACATGACAACGCATCTCAGAGGATGCAGACACCATCTATGGGATAGAGTTCTAGAAGAAAGACACGCAGCACAGGAGCAGCTCTTTTTAAATATGCAGATTTGATTATGTGCGTGCTGTCTGTCACCAGGAAAGGTGTCTGTCTGCCTTCCCACTCAAATATGAACTGGAGGCAATTTGTGTTTCTCAAGGCTCACACTATTTAACTGCTGAGGTACACACACGAAGCAAATTCAGCACTCCAGGGCCAATGGTTATCATAACTCATGCCCCTGTCTGCAGGAGAGCTCAGCCCCAATGCAACACAGACCTGATACCTCCTGGTGCCATCCATGCCTCAAAGCTAAGGCATCTCAGTGCATTTCCATGGAAACATCACATTCCAGCAACATGGCAGCACAAAGTCCACAGGAGTGAACTAACTCTGTTCTTTCCAACCAGAGAAGGGAAGGGCCAGATTAGGCTCCTTAATCCACTTGAGTGCCAGCCTCCACACCCAGGAGCTGCAGAGTGGTGTGAGCCATTCCTCTGTGCCTTCTAGAATCTTACTACAAAATCTCAGTGTTGATTTACTACCTCAGGAGCTCCAAAGCCTGCATTTGGACTCCCAAATCCATTTCACATCACTTGCTAGGCTTTGATCTTCCTAAACCATCCAGACTTTCAGAGCAATTTGCCCAGAAATAATCCAACGTAAAAGTTTCAACAACTTCACAATTACTTGGCATGTCTACTCACCTCTGGACACAGATTTATTAGCTTAGTATGGGAGACAAAACCCCCTTCCCTGCTGTGATAGATTTATTGATCTGTTAACACAGGCTCATATGAAAAGTGAAGCAGCTAAAAAGGATGATCCAGAAAGAGTACAAGTGTTCAACCTTGTTTCCTAGTAACACAAAGGATATGACCAGTTATGCAGTGACACCAGAGCAGCTTCCTGCATGCAACTTTATTGCTGTTATGCAACAAATAATTAATGCTGAGCATCTAGCAGAAAGACTTTACTCTGAAGATGCTCTGAAGGGCAAGCTTGATGGGTGTCCCTCAAAAGAGGCATCTATTTCTTCATATATACATAGGAAAAAAAGGGCTTGGAGTAAGTATAAAGGCATAAAAGGGAAAAAAAGTGATTTAGTAAAGAAAACTTAAGCCATAAATTTTGCTATTAATTCAAGATGAGGGAATGGAGAGCTAGAAATATAGCCCAGAAGTTATTTACAGCTTGTGGCACTGGAATTCACATCTCTGGCTCCAGCAGTGTGGTTCAGCAGCCAACAGCATCGCCACAGTCTGAACTGTCACTTGAAATTTGTTATCACTTCCAGCACTGACTTTTCACAGTACCTTTTCTTGAGAGGTGCTGTGTTTTACACAGCGGATACCACAGTCCTGTTTGAGAAGCAGGAAAATAATCCTTTTGTGGATCTGAAGCTGTATGATACACACGTTCCCTACTGCTGGGAGAAGGAATGCAGAGATGTTGGCATCTGTGTCCTGAATTATGGCAAAAGCGACCGAACTGCTGACACTTTGATCTCCAAGAACTTCAGAAGGGCTGGAGCAGCTCTGCTCTGGAGCCAGGCTGAGAGAGCTGGGCTGGGGCAGCCTGGAGAAGAGAAGGCTCCTGAAGGGGAGACCTGAGAGCAGCTCCAGAGCCTAAAGGGGCTGCAGGAAAGCTGGAGAGGGGCTTGGGACAAGGGATGTAGGGACAGGCCAAGGGGAATGGCTTTAACCTGCCAGAGGGGAGACTGAGATGAGCTCTTAGGCAGAAGCTCTTCCCTATGAGGGTGCTGAGGCGCTGGCACAGGGTGCCCAGAGAAGCTGTGGCTGCCCCATCCCTGGCAGTGTTCAAGGCCAGGTTGGACACAGGGGCTTGGAGCAAGCTGCTCTAGTGGAAGGTGTCCCTGCCCGTGGCAGGGGTTGGGGCTGGAGGAGCTTTAAGGTCCCTTGCAACCCAAACCAGGCTGGGGTACAGACAGCGCTGCAGACACGTAAATGTAAAACAGAGATCAGATGGGACATGGAGAAGCTAAAGCTTGGGTTGTTACAAAACCGAGTGCGTTTGACGGGGTTAATCCGGACGCTTACAGCAGCAGTGCCTGAGGAGCGATGACCAGCACAAAGCTGTGGAGAGGGAGGTGCCCAGCAGCGAGGAATCACTAGAACACGAAGGAAAGCCTTCAGCTGTGAGGCACACCACCGCCACAGCTGCCGATAGTCACTTTTACCTCAAGTCTTTTGCGTCTGTAACTCCTGCTGCTAACGTACTGGCTGCTTCTGACAGCAAGCCGCGCCTCTCACAAGCACTGAGGAGAGGAAAAGCCCCGGCAGCAGGGAGCACAGAGCGCTCGAAGGGCAGGGTCCGGTCCGGTCCGGTCCCGTCCCGCCCGCTCGCCCCTCAGCCCTGGAGCTGCTCCCAGCCGGGCTCAGCCCCTCGCCCCCAGCTCCCGGCCCGGAGCCCACCTGCTCCCGGCCCCGGCCCAGCCCGGAGCCGCCGCGGGGCTTCCGCCGCCTCCGCCCGCCCCTTCCTGCCTTGCCCGCCACGCAGTCTGCGTAGGGCTTGCGCTGGGCAGGCCCAAAGCCCCTTACGCAATCTGCGTAGCGAGGTGCGTCGTTTGCGGAGCCGCGCCGGGCTGAGGCGATGGAGGCGGCGGGCCCCGTAGGCGGCTCCTGCATGGGGCGGGTGGTGGGTTCATACCCATCATGGGATGGGGGAGCTCTGCTCTTCCTTCACAGCTCACCGTTACCTGCAGTCTTGGGTCTTGTCCACCACCTCAGTGGCCCATCCAGGTACCAGCACTTTTGTTCCCTTTAAAGCCTCCCTCGCTGACGGAGGGCAGCAGAGAGAAGCAGGGGCGTGCGTTTGGTGAAGCTGCTGGCAGGCCGTTGTCCTGAGGTGTATTTGCCACCTCCATGAAGAACAGATTGGGGTCTCTGAGGGTTTCCTTGAGGAGAGTGGAAGATTTGGTGTTGTGCTGTGTCACTGGGTGGGATCCCAATGACGTGATCAGAAGCTGAGGTGTGTGTGTGTGTTCATACATGCACTCATTGAGCAATGCATATAAAATCATAGAATCCCAGCTTGGTTTGTGTTGGAAAGGACCTTAAAACTCACCCAGTCGCGGCCCCTGCCACGGGTAGGGACCCCTTCCACTAGAGCAGCTTGCTCCAAGCCCCTGTGTCCAACCTGGCCTTGAACACTGCCAGGGATGGGGCAGCCACAGCTTCTCTGGGCACCCTGTGCCAGCGCCTCAGCACCCTCACAGGGAAGAGCTTCTGCCTTATCTCCAACCTGAACCTCCCCTGTTTCAGTTTAAAATATGATGTGTTTAAAATAGGTTGCTTCTGGTAGCAGCAGGGTTACTGGCCCAGGTTTGCTCAATGTGGTGAATTGGCCTTCCAGAAATCCTTACGCTGTGCAGTTAGTTCAGGTACTCAAGCACAAGGATTTTGAGGATTTTAAGTTAATTTACTAAAGAGAAGTCTCAGCTGTAACCCCAAGTTCAGTGTGCAGTCAATTTTGGAGAAATCAGTGTTTTTTTTCAAGGGAAGGAGAGCAGTTTTTCTGTGTGAGAAGCAACACTACTTGAGTTGCTTGGTAGCTGGGTAACTGATGGGTACTTGAAAATGTGCTATGTGGGACTTACTTATAAATAAATGTTGAAAATAGTCTGGGTTCTGGTTATAAGATGATTTCAGTTTGGCCAAATACCTTGTGCTGGTTGCTTGCTACGGACATTAGACCCCCTCGGGTTTACTCACACAGGTACTCATGTTCCATACAGGCATTTGCAGCATTGTCACAGAGTTGTTAAAGGTGACACAGAAGCTCAGAAGGTGAGTTCTGTTGATCCCAGTTATGGTGCAGAAGGGATCTGCTTTACCTGTGACTTTGGTAACTGTGGAATGCGATGGACAAGTTGCAAATGGTTCCCAAGAAGCAAAGAATTGCCTGGACACAAATCTGTGTTCTCAGACCAAGATCTGCTAATTAGTTTCTTGTAGATTTGACAGTTCTGTGTTTGAAGATCTAAGGTTCTCTGTGTACAGAATGTGAGCGATATGGAAGTGTGAAATGTGTTATTTTTGACTGCCTTTAGCTGCCTGATAACACAGAAGAGCTGTTAAAAGTGGACCAAAACATGAGCTGAGCGGAATAACAATTAGGATTGAGTTTTACCAGATGTTGTTAACTCGGGATCTCATTACAGAGTTTAATAGTCAAAGCCCGCACAATTATGGATAATTTAAAGTTCTGTAGATAAAGTGTGACTTCTACATTTAACAGTAATTGAGAACACCTACACTCGGAATCTTTCAGGCACCTGTCTTACTCCTTATATAAGGAACTGGTGACTCTGGTGGGTGATGGTGGTGCTGGTTCTTGAGGAGAAGCCTGACAAGGGATTGGGGGTGTGAGAAGTGGCTTTGGGAAGGGGGCTGTGGGTAGAGGCAGAGTGCAAGCACAGCATGACAAAAGGAGAGGCGTATTTTAACACTTATTTGTGTACATGCATTGTTAAACAAAGCACCTTTGAAGGATTTTGTCTATACAGACTATAAACCTTAAATACTGGTTTTATCATGTGCTTAGTGTCTCCATGGGATTCTGTCTTTGTAAATCCCAGTTCTCAGATAGAATCACAGAATCAACCAGGTTGGAAAAGACCTTGAAGGTCATCATGTCCAGCCATTAACCTAGGAATAGTTATGCAGTTTGTCAGGTACAGCTGAATGTTGCTGCCTGGGTCCATATCTCATTATGAAGCTCTCTCTCTTAAGCTACAGCCTGTTACTAATCACTCTCCAAAACTGAGAGCCAGCTAGGTAAGACAAGCAGGGCGAAGTAATTCAGAGCTGAAATCTTGCCCAAAAGACTGGCATGAATGAAACAAATGAAGCAAATCTGTTACATTTTGGACTAGCAATACAATTCTGTTGGCCTTTTCTCCAGAAACTTAGTTGCTGCTTTGAAGATTTGCATTGTCATGGAGCCTTATCTTGTCAGATAAGAACCAACAGATACTTTACGTTTTGGGCTGGCAGTACAATTCTGTTGGCCTTTTCTCCAGAAACTTAGTTGCTGCTTTGAAGATTTGCATTGTCACGGAGCCTGATGACTCCCACCAACATCCCTGAACTCTGATCCACTGGTTGTTAGTGGCTCTCAAGGCTGAAGAAACATTTCGGTTGGACTGCTGCATGCAAGCTTGGAAGTAGCAGGGTGGAAACCTGGATTTCCATGGCTGATAGTCTTCCTGTGTGGATCCGCAGGGGTTCTTTCAGAGGGCCAGTCTCTTCCTTCCCACTGGTGTATGCTGCCTTGAGGGGAGCTCTTTTACTGGCCTTTTATTTTGGCACTGTAGAAACTAGAGTAATCAAATTGAATGAGAGTGATGCAGAAGACAAGGGACGTTGCTTCTCAAATCTTCATTCTGTTTCTTGACTGATGATGGCAAACTGATACTGGGTGCAACACACACATCCTTCTGGAGTCAGTGGTGGTTGGTGTCTTGCTTGCTCTCTTAAGAAAAGTTACCCAAGTTTTGTCTTACTTCTTTTTAATTTGGATTGCTTTATGGCTCTAGTCCAGATCATCTTTGTTGTCATCTTATCTTTAGGACAGTCTGTTTCTTACTTGCTATCTATGAGTTCAGTGTTCTGTAGCCATTAGCAGGCAGTTTTCCTTTACCCCTTTGATGTGTTCATGCATGCTACAACTAGGCCACATTTGTTACAAACCTTTAGAGTACCAGTCACTCACTGGTGTTGGTGAAGGAAACTCAACAAGAAACTTTTCTGTGAGCTGAGACACTTGCCAAGAGTTCCTGAACTGATTTTCAGTACAGCTGAGTCTGTGTTTGGAATAATACAGTATTTGGGTTTTAAACTACCTGCTCTTTAGCAACTGAAACCCCTTTTTTTCTAGTTGGTCATTAGGAAATGTTACTACATATGTACTCTGCAATGAGGCAGTGGCTGTCCAAATAGATGAGGGGGGGGGAAAAAGCATTTCTTTCCCTTAAGGTTTGTGTTGTTAGGCAGAAAACAGACCTGGTTTTCCCAAGGCTTCAGGACGACAACAGCTCCTTACCCTCTCAGTCTAAACTGGTTTATCTACAGGTGAGACACTGAGTATATTTGTATACTGAGTAACTGCAGAACCTCAGTTTCCATTCTTATCAAACACAAACACTTACCACAGGCTGGATCCAAGGTCTGCTGAGATCTGTGGTGCTCTTAAAGTGTGACAGAACTGTGGCAATCTCCTAAGTTTTGTATTTTCTTCACAACTAAGTGTTTCTTTTAAATAAAGGAAAACACCAACACATTACTGCTTTGCTTTACTCCCCAGCTCAGGTGTGCTGACTCCTTAATACACTTCGCAGCTGTAGTTCCTGTCAATGAGGAAGCTGAAATGATTTGGCATTAATTCAGGTGAGGAATCAAAACACAGAAGTCAATGTGCAGTTAATGAATACTTTTAAACTTTTAATGGACATATTCCATATAAAAATATTGTGTGTAGTATCTCATAGCAGTTGATCTGGGGGAGCCTCTCCAGGGGCAGTGTCCTACTTGGTGTAAAGAAGAGAGGCAATGCAGGTAGCCAGATGAAGGAGTTAGGTGAGAGGAACTGTTTCTGTGCTGGATAAATGGGGAATTTGGATGGTCCTGAGCTTTGAGAGCCCTTGCCCTTGGCAAGCTGCAGACTCACAAGTAGGAGTGTTGATTGTGCCTCTTCCTCTCCAATGCAGTGTGCAACTTAAAATGGTAGCAACTGACATCCCCTTTTCCCAGTCCCTGTGCCACAAGCACTTGGGCAGTGATGGGGGTTCAAGTGGTAATGTGTGTTAAAGCCTCTCTCATCCCCTGAGGCTGGGCACCCACTCCCTGAGGTAGCAGTCCTTCTCCCCCACACTCTCCCAAGAAAAGGTGTAAGAGTGGGAAAAATACAGCCATGGGATTTTCACAGGACATAATCTCTCAGATTCAGATAGTGTTCTGCAGTGCTAATCAGGAGATGACACAAGAACAAAGTGACAAAAGCAAACTGATGAGACAGCTTTGCAGGCAGGACCAGTCCATTGTTGGTTCAGGCTATAGCAGTGATGTGGGTCTCTTTGTGGCAGGAGGTGAGCAAGTCCCTGTTAGACCTCCAGTAGAATTTAGGAGTGCAGCAAAGCACCACAGAGATGACCACCCCCAAAGCAAGCATGAGACAAACCACCCATTTTATCAGCCCAGAGTATATAAAGGGGAGGATGAGGATGGTGAGGATCACCCCCAGCAGCAGGAGCAGCACAAGTCTATGCACAGCCAGCCTGTTGTCTGCTGGAACGCTTTCATCTCTGTAGAGCAAGTCTTGGCTGGTCTGAGTCCAGCTGTTGCTGGCTAGTCCTATGGCAGAGACATGCACCTCAGGATGTGAACTGGGTGTTTCCAAGTGCTCCATGATGTCTTCTTTGTTCTGAAGCGTGCGGATGAGTCCTCCTGACACACAAGTGGCTTTTCGGCACAGGGGGCAGGTGATCATCCAGGCATTCCCGTCTTTCCTGAGGATGAGCTTGAGGCACACCGCGCAGAAGGCATGCTGGCAGTCCAGGAGCTTGGGCACTCTGTACATGTTGTACTTGTTGAAGCAAACCAGGCAGTCCAGGTCAATAGATGTGGTTGAACACTGGTGGTTCAAACCGTGTCCTTCAGGACAGTTCCTGTTTGTTAGCACAAGAGACGCTGCGCTGGGACAGTCTCCTTCCAAAACTGCTGGTTCAGAGGCAGCAGGACTGGCTTGCTCCATGCCTGAAGGTCTCTCCAGTTCTTTAACACATTCTTTGGTGAATCCCAGGCTCTTCACATCCTCTGTTTGGGGTCCTGCTCTGCTCATTCCTGCAGCACATTCCACAGCAGGTGCAGGACTCTGCTTTTCAGCCTGTGGTGCTCCAGGAGCTGTGGATCCAAGGTCCTTGTTCAGCTTGTCAGTGAATTTCTCCATGGAGATACACCTCAGTGCAGTTTTTCTCCACTTAGCTGAAGGATCTGCTGAGTTTCTGGCTCCTTTTATGTGTTGCTTTATCCCTGTTGTAGGCACGATTGGTTAGTGACAGCTTTCAGCATGTTGTGCTCCTCCAATATGATGTTTTTATGAGATGGGGACCAGAGTTAATCAGTAACTTCGTGGCCAAGACATTTTACAAGGGCTGGTAATCTCACTGAGCAATTCCTGTCCAGAAGCAGACCCCATGGCATTAGCAGGCTGCAGCTTTGCTCACTGTGATAGTCAGACTATGATTATTACTAAATGAGTATTTTATGTTGAACGCAGTTTAATTGGTCTCTACGCAGTGCTTTGCTTGCCAGTAGGGGGCTCGGGAGAATGATTTGCTAACGCTGGTTGTAGGGCTTTGATTAGAGAGAGCAGAATGACGAATTCTGAGCTCTCTGGGTAGGAAGTCTGCTCTTGCTTTAGCAACACCCACTGTCCTCGAGCTGTTACTCTGCAGCACAACAGAAAGATTGAGATTATCAATGTTGAGTGTTGAATGTCTGATTATTACTAACTTTTATCTGAGGAGCATCCATGATGGAGCATCACCAGAGGGCTGCAGGTGCAAGCCAAAGCATGACGTAGGCTCATATAGGGTCTCACAGGGTGCATGAGAGAGCTGGAAATTAGAAGTAAGGTTCATGTCCTGGTAGGACCATCTTTACTGGCATTCACAGGACCTGGTGTGCTCAGGAATGCCCTGTTGATAGGTGGGTTTGTGAATATTCATCTCATCTGAAACAAATAACGCTGGATCACAATCCCTCAGTCTCTAATTTCTTTCTACCTTTTTATTTTGAGGGGTAAAATGCAGCTGGGTTCTCAGTAAGAATCCTAAGGAAGGCAAGAAGGTAGAAAAGGAAGGGTCACTAATACTGAAAAGCTGGATGAGGTCATCATTCCCGGTAGAAGATACCCCATACTGTGTCTGTGCCCTCAGATGCACCCAAGCACTCAGGCTAACACTGTGCCTCCACGTACCAGCCACTCCCCCCACCAGAGGAACATCAGAAAGAAATGGAACAACTGCAATTTAGGAGGGCAAGGCGTTCAGGAAGAGACTAATCTCCTGAACCAGAGATTAGATTAGGGGATGAGGTGAGAAGAGCTTGTTCTCTGCTGAGAAATAGTAGGAGCTTTGTCGTAAGCAAGCTTCATAAAAGTGCTTGGGCGTTCCTGCTGTATTTCTGCTGATGTGTTTGATGGACTTGTGGGTGACTCCAAATTATTAGGAGCCTGAAGGTCATAGAACCAGACTGGTTTGTGTTGCAAGGGACCTTAAAGCTCATCCAGCTCCAACCCCTGCCACAGGCAGGGACACCTTCCACTAGAGCAGCTTGCTCCAAGCCCCTGGGTCCAGCCTGGCCTTGAACACTGCCAGGGATGGGGCAGCCACAGCTTCTCTGGGCACCCTGTGCCAGCGCCTCAGCACCCTCACAGGGAAGAGCTTCTGCCTAAGAGCTCAGCTCAGTCTCCCCTCTGGCAGGTTAAAGCCATTCCCCTTGGCCTGTCCCCACAGGCCCTTGTCCCAAGCCCCTCTCCAGCTTTCCTGCAGCCCTTTTAGGCACTGGAGCTGCTCTCAGGTCTCCCCTTCAGGAGCCTTCTCTTGTCCAGGCTGCCCCAGCCCAGCTCTCTCAGCCTGGCTCCAGAGCAGAGCTGCTCCAGCCCTCGCAGCATCTCTGTGGCCTCCTCTGGACTTGCTCGAGCCGGTCCAAATTCTTTCACTTGCAGAAGTGAGACTCACTTGCAGTGCAGGAATGGCTGAAAGCCGGCTGGTGAGCTGCAAGACTCATTTATGTTTAAAACCAGGAGAATTTTCTGTTGGATTTCACAACATTTTACTTTATTAGTAAGTTGAAGCTGTTAGAAGATCTGGGAACGCAGCAGCCAGACCTGCCACTTCTACAGTGCTTTAGAAGCTTCAGATGCAGTCTTGTCAGTTCCAAAATGGAAATGTCTTAAAATGTACTGATTCTTAATTATTAGAACAGCATGAAACCATCTCACAGATGTTGGGAAGATGGAACAGACACCAAGAGGGGGCAACTGCACTCGTGATTGGAGGAGTTTGAAACCAGGTGGGATGAATCCTGTTGTGGGAACTTGGAGCTGTTGGAGACATGGTTATTTTGCTACAGACCTCTGTGAGGGTGGCTCACTGGAGGGAACGGGAAGCATGTTGTGTTGGTGAGTCCTCAAGCTTTTTGGGGACCCCAAGGGTGGAAGTGTGATCTTGTTGGGGGCTCAGGAAGCCACAGCTGTGCACTCAGGCTGTGGTTTCGGCACCGCTGTTCCAACGCTGTGGTCCCTCTGCCCTGGTTTCAGTTGTTCCGTGTAGATACCGGTGATAGTCCTGTGAGCTGCCTTCTGTGCTCAGACTGTTGTGACAACAGGCTCTTCCCAGCAGAGTGAGTCAGGAATAACATGTAATTCCAGTCTGCTCATGGTTGAGGACGGATTCTCCAGCTGCCCACTGTGGTGGAGCATGAGGATGCAGGGAATCCTCCCCAGGTGCTGCACTCTGGTCGAGCCCCATCTTTGTGCTGTGCCCCTTCTCTAGCCTGGCAGGTTCTGGGGGATCTGGGACACGAGGGCTCCACATGGGAGGTGTGTTACACTGACTTGTTCCAGCTGTGCTGGCCCACCAGCCATGTTCCCGTGGTGCCTCCTCATGGGTGGGCAACTGTCGTCTCGTCCTTCATCTCCTTTTCCAGTTCCTGTCGGTGTGGTTGGTTGGCATGGAGTGGACACGGCCTGCAGAGACCTCCTGCTCGGGCTGGAGAAGACAGTGAAGGTCCCCACACATGGGTGGATGCAGCGGTGGGATGGAGACGTGCTGGGGCAGCAGGAACACGCTGGGGGGCTGTGGCTGTGATCCCAAGGGAAGCCCTCTGCTTCCCCTGCCTCAGTTTCCCTCCCGAGCCTAATCCAGCTCCTCCTGGAGGGCTCCACCAGGGGGCAGCAGCGCGGAGGGCGGCGCTCTGGCCGCCCGGTGCAGCTCTCAGTAGTGCTGCGGCCACGTGAGTGGCTGTTGGCGCAAGCGCAGTGCGATGTCCCGTAAGCCGGCAGCCAAGGCCCGGCCCGGTGCCGCTGCCGCAGCCGGGCGGGCGCGCAGGTCCCGGCAGAGCCCCGGCAGGCAGGGCCCGGGCCCCGGCCCCGCACCGGGCGGCGGCGGCCTCGCACGGCAGCTCTGGGCTCTTGGCCTCAAGCTGCGGGAGGTGCCGGGCGATGGGTGAGCACCCCAGGCCGGCGGGTCACGGGTGGTGGCAACCCGTGTCCGCGGCGTTGCGAGCGGTCCCCGCGCGGTGGAGCGGGGCCGGGGCTGGGGCTGCACAGCAGTGAGTGTTCCCCCGGTGCACCCCGCGGGTCAGGAGGCTCTGCTGGGGGGCTGTGCCCCCTCGGGCTGCTGGTCCCAGGCCTTACCGCGGCGGGCTGGGGCTCTGTTGGCATGCCGAGTGTGCAAGGGGAGGTGCAGAAGTACGGGGCATTAGATTTGTCTGCTGAGGGATTGCTGAGTGGGTCATGGGGCTGCCCTTGGCTGCATTGTGTCCTTTGGATCAGTGTCTCTTTAAGACAGCTGAGCCCTGCACTGTTCATCAGTACAGCAAAGAGAGAGGGTCCAGAGGAGGGACACAAAAACGATCCAAGGGATGGAGCACCTCTGCTATGAGGAAAGGCTGAGGTCTGGAGTTGTTCAGCCTGGAGAGACTCCAGGAGACCTTATGGCGGCCTTTCACTTCTTAAAAGGGGGCCCATAAGAAAGATGGAGAGAGACGTTTTAGCAGGGCCTGTTGTGACAGGACGAGGGGTAATGGGTTTAAACTAAAAGAGGGAGGTTCAGGCTGGATGTGCAGAAGAAATCCTTTACACTGAGGGTGGTGAAGCACTGGCACAGGTTGCCCAGGGAGATGCTGGATGCCCCATCCCTGGAGACGTTCCAGACTAGCCTGGATGTGGTTCTGGCAACCCGGTCTGGATGAAGATGTCCCTGCTCATTGCAGGGGCTTGGACTGGGTGAGCTTTGAAGGTCCCTTCAACCCAAACCATTCTGTGACTCTTGCTGACCTTGACTTCTGCTGTTGGAGCTGACATTAATTCAACACCTTCTCTTCCTATGAGGAGTTCCACCAGTAGCAGCCAACAAAAAACAAGTGATAGGTGCTGCTTCACATTCATATCCATGGGCAGAAAGAGCAGCTCTTGCCCTTGAACACCATACTCTCTGCTGCTGGATCAGTCTTTTGTTCGGCAGTGTGCTCCGAGCTGTGTGTCGCACACACCAACCTCTGCTTTCTCTCTTGTAGCAACTGTTTGTTTCGGGCCCTGGGGGACCAGCTTGAGGGGCACTCGCGGAACCACCTCCGCCACCGCCAGGAGACGGTGGATTACATGATCCAGCAGCGGGAAGACTTTGAGCCCTTTGTGGAGGATGATGTGCCCTTTGAGAGACACGGTACGGTCTGCACAGGGCACTGATGGAAGGGGTGTTGTGTAATGTGGTTACATCTCATGGGAGTAGCCTCTTACTAAAGAGTTCCTCATCCCAGACCTGTGGTAGGGCTCCTCATTAATGTTTAGAATCAGTGAGTTTACTTTTGGGTCTTTTATGTTTCTGTAGAAAGATGAGCTGTTAAACATGCATTAACTGGTGGTGTTGGTCAATGAGAAGCTCCCCATGACCTGGCTTCAGTGTGCGCTTGAGTCCAGAACCCTTCTGTGTGCTGGGCTGCACCCCCAGAGCGTGAGCAGCAGCTCAGGGAGGGGATCCTGCCCCTCTGCTGTGCTCTGGGGAGACCCCCCCTGCAGCTCTGATCCAGCTCTGGGGCAGCAGCACAAGAGGGACCTGGAGCTGTTGGAGCGAGGCCAGAGGAGGCCATGGAGATGCTGCAAGGGCTGGAGCAGCTCTGCTCTGGAGCCAGGCTGAGAGAGCTGGGCTGGGGCAGCCTGGAGAAGAGAAGGCTCCTGAAGGGCAGACCTGAGAGCAGCTCCAGTGCCTGAAGGGGCTGCAGGAAAGCTGGAGAGGGGCTTGGGACAAGGGCCTGTAGGGACAGGCCAAGGGGAATGGCTTTAACCTGCCCGAGGGGAGACTGAGATGAGCTCTTAGGCAGAAGCTCTTCCCTGTGAGGGTGCTGAGGCGCTGGCCCAGGGTGCCCAGAGAAGCTGTGGCTGCCCCATCCCTGGCAGTGTTCAAGGCCAGGTTGGACACAGGGACTTGGAGCAAGCTGCTCCAGTGGAAGGTGTCCCTGCCCGTGGCAGGGGTTGGAGCTGGATGAGCTTTAAGGTCCCTTCCAACCCAAACCAGTCTGATTCCATGAAACTAGTCTTGGAAATTGTTTAAATTTAGGAAAATCTTGGTGAAACAAAGAGAAGCAGAAAAAGCCAAGGAGTCAAAACCTGGTGTTTTCACAAGGAACTTGAAGGAAAGGTCTGTCTTTCCTTGAATACTGGTGGGTGTTGAGTGGCTGATTTCTGTGGGTTCCCTTTTCTCCTTGACACTTGATATTTCACAGAGGTGTCCCAGGGGAAGTTCCAAAGCAGAGACAAACCCAGCCTTTGTTCTAACAGCTTCGAGGATGTGCCAATTCTCATGCAGGTAATGCATGAAAGCACTTGGTTACTTAGCATGTGGCTGTCTTCCCTCTGCACCACCACAGAGCTGATGGCCTTGCATAATCTAAGGGTTTACTGTGGGGTTTGGAGGTTTCTGTGTCCAGTTAAGGCACATTAGCTTCAGTTGCTGCCAAATCCTTGCCTCAGAAGTCAGTTCTTCCCAGCTAGGATTTCCTTTCCAGAATTTCCTGGGCTTGTGTTGAAATTTACATTCCTCACTATCCCTCCAGTGCTTTTGGAAGTGTCAGAAAAGAGGTTTCCAACTCTTCTGAATGTTTTTTCCTTTAGTTTCCAATCTGGCAAAGCCTGGTACCTTTGCTGGCAATGATGCTATTGTGGCCTTTGCAAGGAACAATCAAATGAACGTGGTTATTCATCAGCTCAACGCCCCACTCTGGCAGGTGAGAAACCAGACCTCTGTATTTTGGCCTAATTTTTAGCTGATGACTAAATAGTGTTAGAACTTCTTGATTTATTAAAAGAGAGCAGTCAGTAGCTGGGCTTAGCTGGGCAGGGTGTAAAGCTGAGCTTGATTTTCAGTCCTGGGGGTGGAAAACACTCCAGGTTCTCAGAGAGAATGAAAGACACCAGTGAATGCATGAAAGGCGAGTATGTGGTGACAGTGCAGTGTGTTTAATTTGGTTTTAAGCTACTGGCTTCAGTGGTATATTTCTGCCTCCTGAAGATCAGACTATGTATGACATGACTTTTCTGACAGGAATTTGAGCCAGGCTTAAGGAAGCCTCTGTACAGTAAGGTTCAGGAATAGAGAAATGGAGGTATTGCAGAGCAGTCCTTGCAGGGTCCATCAGTTCTGCATGGGGTTTGGAATGAGGTTTCTGACAGGTTCTGGGCTGGGCAGAAGAGGAAAGGCAGTGTTTAATCAGCTTCTGGAAGGGACTGTGCAGCGGGGTTTCCTCTGACAGAGGCACTGGAACAAGTGATCCACCAGGTTCTTCCTATTCCCCTTCTGTTGCTTTATGTGTGGAATGGGTCCATGCTCTCTCTGCCTGTTCCCTGAGCAAGTGAGAACCTGCAAGTCAGGACTGTGTCTGGCCCCAGTTTACAGACAGAACCAAAGCAGTACATAGATTAAACACAGCAATAAAGATAAAAGACCACAGGGAAGCATTCAGTGGTGTCTTAAATTCGTCTGAAACAGTGTCAGGTGGATTCCAGAGCCCAAATGAGTTTAAACTCTTATTTCTGTGGCAGCCATGGTCAGTAAGACAGATAAGTAATACTCAGCTGCTTGACCTGTGAGTGTTCGGAGGTGTTGACCCTGCAGGAGAGTTCCTGGGGCTGCAGTTCGTGTTCTGTTACTGCTCTGAACTGGACACTCACCTCAGTGTACTTAAATCTTATCATTAGTTTTCCATGTCCTCTTGCATAACTTAAACTCTTTCTTCCCCTCCCCATTCATTGACCTTTCCAGGGCTGCAAATACAGAGTTTGTGATGAGGTTCTGTTTTACCTGAGTGTAGTCTTGCAGGGAAGGGTTGTCTTAGGCTCTTGAGAATGGTGTAGGTGGTAGAGCTGTTAGTAGCTGGAACATAGAGTCTCTTACCTACACAGGATACATCAGGACATCACGAGGTAGTGACAGTGTTAGCAAGTTGCTAGACTTGACTAACCCAGGCCACCCTTTTCTCTCCATTTTCTATACTTTGACATTTCCCCCCCCTTTCTTTCTGCTGTGGAGCCCCAGTAAAACTTTAGAAAGATGAGATTCCAAAGAGAGCATTTCCAGACAGGCAGTTCAGGAAGATGCATAAAGCAGATGCTCTGAATTTATCCATTGGTCCCAACTCTAAAGCAGATGGTGAGTTATCTTTTAATTTTAAGAGAACTGTTTGTATCCACCACAGCAGAGCTGGATTATTCAGGGCTTCCAGCTGTTTGTCAGACCTTGACCTGAGCAGAAGCTCATGGGAGGTGGCATCTCCCCATGGACTTCTTAGGGCTTTAAACACCCTTTACATCTTCTGATAGTGACTGTAAATGCAGAGCTTCAGGTCAGCTCAGACATACAGGTTATTTTATTAGCTTTTGGGATAATTCTCTACCTTCTTTCAGTGCTCGTTCCTTTTTTTATCTGCAGCTATCTTTTACTTACAGTTTCAGTGTGTTGTAGAAAGAGGCTTCACGGCTGAGAGCAAAATTGGCTGATTTTCAGGACAACCTTGCAAGAGCTTTGTGATGGTTTTAGATACCTGTTTAGGCTCTGGCAGAGGAGAGATGTTGAGAATAAATCTTAGCTGAGTTCCAACCTGCTGAATAACTTCATAGGATAAAAGGCAGGAGGGAAGTCTTGAGTTGGAACTTAAAGGTGAGCAAGGTGAAGGGAGAGTGTTGTGCAGTCTGAAGCTGCTAGTGCAGCACAAAGGCTGAAAGGTGACTTGGTGTGTGCTCTGTAAGGGGGATGGGCTGATTGCCCTAAAGCAAGTGTGTCTTGTCGTTTGCTCGCTGCCATCTTCTCCTGAGAGCTCTCAGATCTTTGAACTCCTGACAGGAAAGCAGAGGAGATCTGCAAACCCAGTGGAATTTTCTGTGTTCCTTGCAGCAGTTGGAACACTCTGTAGCTCTCAGCTGCTGGTTTGAGACATGACAATCGGGGTAGGAATTATTCTTGCACCAGTACAGATGACAGAACAGGAATTCTTTACAGAAGCTGCTGTACTTGGTGCTGATGAAAGGGGAAATGACATTGGACACTCAGTGGAAGCTGGCACTGAAACATGACCAGAAAACTCATGTAGGAGGTGTGGAAACTACTTTTGAGCTTTCCGTTGAACTATTCTCACACCATGTTTGGTTTGTTATGATGTAACTGACCCAACGTTGTGTATCTGGCTTCAAACATCAGCCTTGAGCCTCTGTGCTCCCGGAGTCACATCTGGGTTATTAGACCAGCTCTTCCTGTTTACAGAGTCTTCAGTAGCTCTCTTTGCTGCCATCACATTGTTTATCCTTTGCTTCGGAAAATGAATACTTTGCCAAATGTGATGCTCAAGTTGATCCCAAATCCTTATTTGATTTGCAATTGCTTTCCTTTCTTTAGATTCGTGGTACAGACAAAAGCAATGCAAGAGAACTGCACATTGCGTATCGTGACGGAGAGCACTATGACAGTGTGAGGAGGATCAATGATGATTCTGAAGCTCCAGCCTATCTTCAGATGGAGGTTGGTTATGACAGAATGACCCGAATCAGCAGAGGGTCATAAATAAAACTGTTTCCAGTTGATTTCCTTTCTTGTTTGCATTGAGACTGTGAAATGAGTTTGGTCCCTGTGTGGAGCTGGAGACAGAAAAGCCCCTCAGGCTGCTGTTGCTAGAGGTGCCTGCTCTCCTGAGACAGGCTGTGAAGTGTTTCAGTTACTGGGCTGGAAATCTGGTCCTCTGATGTGGCTGTAGGTGTCTTGAAGCAACTTCACCTAGATTACACACTCATGCACCTCAAATGCAAAAACAAAAGGAAGGAAGAAAAGGGCTGGAAATCATAGAATCCATAGAACCATAGAATGGGTTGGGTTGAAGGGACCTTAAAGCTCATCCAGTCCCAACCCCTGCCACAGGCAGGGACCCCTTCCGCTAGAGCAGTTTGCTCCAAGCCCCTGTGTCCAACCTGGCCTTGAACACTGCCAGGGATGGGGCAGCCACAGCTTCTCTGGGCACCCTGTGCCAGCGCCTCAGCACCCTCACAGGGAAGAGCTTCTGCCTAAGAGCTCATCTCAGTCTCCCCTCTGGCAGGTTAAAGCCGTTCCCCTTGGCCTGTCCCTACAGGCCCTTGTCCAAAGCCCCTCTCCAGATTTCCTGTAGTCTCTTTAGGCCCTGGAGCTGCTCTGAGGTCTCCCCTAAAGGAGCCTTCCCTTCTCGAGGCTGAGATGTTCTCTGCACATTATTGTGGGGTATTGTAATAAAATCAATATGTCATTTAAAGAGCCAGTGATTGTTTTGTAGTAGCCATGATCCTGTAGTACCTGAGAGCTTGCTCAGTGTGAAACGGTGTCAGTGATGGTGGAAGTCGCAGTTTCCAAGATACTTTGACCCAGGATATATCTGAGAAAAGTGTGCCACAATGATTAAAACTATTCTGATGTCAGCTGTTTTATTTCACTGCATATAATGAAATTGCTGCATGTTTGTGTGATCTTGGGTTTGCTTTTCTTGCAGTTGCTTTCCAAAAATGATTCAGGTACAAAGAAGGAAGAGAAGCCACAGAAGGAGGACTCTGAAGATGAAATTGAAATTGAGATGGAAGATGCTGTACAAGAAGTGTGTAATGCAACTGGATTTTCAGTAAGTAGTGACAGCTTTTTTTGTGTTTAGTGTTCAAACCTTCTTGATGAGATGCTACGAAGTACTCCCCTTTGGCCAGTTTAAGTGCCACAGCCATAAATTAAGATGCATTTCATCCTGGACTCAGCCCTTAAATGCAGATGAAATATGTGCTCAGTGTGGATAGCCGATCATTTTGGGTGTTTTTTCTGCAGTCTCTCAGAGAACTCACTTTGAAACAAGTTCTGTAAGATCTGAAATCCTTGTAGCCTTCCAGTGTCTGAAGGGAGCTACAAGGGTGCTGGAGGGGGACTCTTCATCAGGGACTGGAGTGATAGGACAAGGGGTGATGGGTTCAGATGGAAACAGGGAAAGTTCAGGTTGGAGATGAGGCAGAAGTTCTTCTTCTATGATTCTGTGAAATCCTCTGAGGATGTCTGCAGTTGAACATACCAATGACTAGGTGATCTTTGGATCTTGGCCTGTGTTCCTGCACGTTGCTGCTTGCACTGTGTGAATGCGTAGAACAGACAAGGCCAAGAGTGAAGTGGTTACACTGAAACTGATGTCTTCAGGATTTTAATAGTCCCCCTGACCTCTTTCAGGTTAGTTGAAAGGCCAGAAAAGCAGAGAGCAGCCCTCTCAGTGGTGCAGATAGTTAGTAAATTAATGTAGGTCAGTGATTTGAACTCTCTTCAGCTTTAATCTTTCTCTTGTGGACAGGACATTGACTTGGTAAGCCAGGTTCTGGAAGTGGAAGACTACAGTGTAGAATCTGCCATCTTTCAAATGAATGCAGTGAAGAGAATGAGTAAGTACATGGAGTTTGTCACCTGGTACTTCAGAGGAACACTGTCTGATGTCAGGGTTCACTGTCAACAGTGGTTCAACAGCGACAGCAGCAGCAGCAGCTGAAGCTTGCTCTTGGCTGTGCTGCTGCCTCAGCCTTCCAGTGCTCAGGAAGGTTGTTAGTGAGGGCAGGTTCAGTCCAGCTCCCAGAGCCACCCCTCTTCCAGAAATCCCAGAGAAAGGAATTGGCTGGCAGGGAAGCAGCGTCTGAGTAGAGTGTGTCTGTTGTTGGTAGGTACTGAGGAGCAGCACGATCCCCAGAGCACAGCTCAGGAAGCGCACAGCAGAACTCTGGGGGAAGAAAACGGAACTGGTTTGAGACTCTTTGGAAATCAGAGCTTGCATCAAGGTGAAAGAGAAAACAACAAGGGACAGCCTAGCTCCTACGAAGAGAACCAAGCTAGCAGAAACCCAAAGGTATGTGAAGGGGGGGTTGCCAGGGGTTTGCACACCCTTTAACGATTAGGGTAATGCTTTGGGTTACTTAATCAGCAACTGTCTTCCCTTTGAATTAAAACCAGCCTCTGTTTACTGGATTTTGTTGCTGCTACAGCTGAGACTTCTCTGATCCAGACATTTAATAGAGACATGTGTTGCTTTCCCCAAAATGCCACGAGATAAAGTCCTGATAAGTAGTCTGGAATAAACGTTCCCTCGCAGCTGCGTTGCTGTGTGCTTATCTCCTTGCCAGTGTATTACTTTCCCCGCTGTGTGTTTTCAACTTTGTGCTTTCATCCTTCCTTTCAGGCATCTAAAAAACAAAAGAAGGAGCAGCAGAGACTGGAAAAGAAGAAGAGGCAGGAAGAGAGGCACCGACAAAAGGTCTTGGGTAACAAAAGTAACTGTCCAGTTAGTGGCAAGAGAGACACACACTCAACCAACCACGTCACCTTGGTGAAGGCCATAGGAGCGCTAAACATATGACTGTGTTCTGAGTGCTCTGGTGAGAAAAGCAAATAAAGCTGAGGAAGACAATCTGCCCTCAAGCAGATTTCCAAGAACTCCTTGTTATCTGTTGCTGCGGAGATCTCTAAGCACACATGAACTTCCTGTTTCCTCAGCTGTGGGGCAGTAATTCTGCATCAACCTGTGTGTGAGAAGAGTTGTTTGAACTTAACAAAAAGTAGAGACTTGGGTGTATGATTCTGGAGGTAGATGAAGGTGAGAACCATTTCTTCACCCAGCAGTGTCAGGTTTGCTCTGACACTTCTTGATGTGCTGAGATGATTTAGATTTAATGTAACTTTCTACTTGGGTTACACTTGGAGGAGCTTTATTTAATCTTGATGTCAGGGAAAGCTTAACAATTCTCAACTCAGGGGTTTGGTTTCTCTTCCTGTTTAAATAAAGCAAAGAGAATCCTAGAATCCTTTCCAAACCGAAGTGTGTCAGCCAGCACTGTGTCAGCTGTGACATTCCTCTTTTCTTTCCCATGCAAGAATGCAGGGATGAGTTTTATTTTAATTAGAACTTCTTGTATTGCATAGGCTGTTGGAGAAGCGATTAATATGTGGGGGGAGAGTGGGATTGCTGCATCCAGTTTGAGATGAGCTCAGTAATACAGTGATACCAGTGAACTCCTGAGACCACAGAGCCAGTTTACCCTGATGAGGTTGTAAAACACAACATGAGCAGGCATGAGATTCCTGTTGAGTGTTATTACTTGGACATCGGGAATCTCATCTCCTTTGCCATACTCTGGAGCATTTGGGCTACTCCAGAGCTTTAATCCAAGCCAGGAGCTTGATAGTTGTTAGTCTCCACATGGAGTTAATGTAGCCAAAGGCCTGGGAGCAAGGTTCCAAGCAGCAGTGCTCACTGGGAACTCTGCCTACTTCGCTCTTCATAAATCAAGCTTTTTCCAGGGTAGGATGTTTTCATCTTAAACCCCTCTTTGGTAAGTTCACTGAGCTCCATAGAATGTACAGCCTGAATCCTGTGATACTTTCTACTATAGGATTGTGAATATGAGCTGAAGCGTGAGGACTGTGGGACTTGGCCCTTGATTTATGGCTTGTGGTGTTTCAGCTTCACTCTGGATTTTAGGCTTGGCGTCAAACACTAAGCTTGAAGGAAGCACAACAGATAAGAGGAGACACCTCATCAGCCAGGGCAAAGATTAGATACATCTTTCTGGAAGTAAGGAATGCTGCTTTTGACAAAATTCCATGTATTCTCTGCAGTTTCCAAATCAGCACAGAAATACAAATGCCTTTTCTGGCTGAACTGCCAAGATCTGAGCTAGTACTTCTTCATATGCTCTGCTACTGTTTATCCAGAGCAGTTGGAGAACAGAAAGGAAGGAGCTGTAAGTACTGGTGGCATAGGAGAACAGGCTTTAATGCTGGTGAAGAAGTTCCTTTGGTTCCTGTAATGAGCTTGGTGGAAATAAAAAATAATACAAAGCAGCCCTTCTGCTTTATGGTGGGACATAGTGTCTGGCAAGTGAAGCAGTGGGTTGCATGCTGCTCTGAGTGCCTGTGGTGGGCATGGGGGAAGTCTGTACTATTCCATAGGTGGGAAGAGCATGGATGAGCCTTGAATTCACAGTACTGTTCTTACGCTGTAAAGGAGTTAGGTGAAATCTGTTTCATGCCAACCTTAGCCTGTTGTTAGCACTGTTGCTTCCTGGCATTCATGTTCTCTAAGACAGTCACTTTCAGTAACGGAACCACAAGTCATGGCTGGAAGGGAGAAAGCACGAGTCGCTTCACCGGGGTGAGGAGCTGAGGACAGCCAGGTAATGGAGGTGAACATGTCACCTTTGTCTTGCCCAGCTGTGTTTTGCTTTGCAGGTGGGTTCTGCAAGTCTGAAAAGATACGAGCGTGCAGATGTTTGATGTTAATGAATCGCTTTTTTGTCTTCTTGAGGCAGAGCTGATAAAAGGATTATTGTTGCTTGGAGCCTGAAGAGCCATGAGGGGAGTTATGCTGCAGACAGCAGGAAGAAAGCTGAGCTTTCCAGCGTGTGAAGGGACCTGCAAAACTCACCCTGCCCAGGACAAACAGATGAGCCTGCAAGAGCAACACCTCTTCAATGGCAAAGAGAGATGCTGACCGTCAGCTCAGGGACACCTGGAACCAAATCTGTGGCTGAAAATGCTTTCATTTCCAAGTGTAATATGATTAAAATCTTTTTTTCAAGCGGTGGTCTCCTCAGTCTTGTTAGAGCAGTCCCATTCTCTTTGGTTTAGCCAGGATAACTTCGTACCTACACAGATTCTCCATTCAAAGATGTTAAAGCTTTCATCCTGTCTGGTTTCTGTCTTTCCTTAAGAGGTTGAAATTTCCCCCTGCCCTTTTGACATGTGTTTTTTTTAGGGAATACTTATGCAATGATCCTCAGGGATTTTGTGCTTTGTAAACAGGCCCTAGATTTTTCCTTGCAGGAGGAAGGGAGGCGAGGAACAAGAGAAGAGAAACATCCTGATTCATAGGCCGTGTTTACTCTTTGGTGGAGCTGTGCTTCGGAGCATGCGGTCATAGGACAGGCAGCACTGCGTGTTCCCTGGGTGTTCGAGCGTTGCTGCTGGTTCCCAGCTGCTGGATGACATCTTTGAGGGTCACGGGTGGGCAGAGGGCCGGGTGTGTGCTCAGTGCTGCTGGGGCTGCGCTGTCATGGGCAGCCTCGTGAAGGTGAGCTGCAGCACAGCAAAAAGCTGCGTTCCCTGCATCCCACCCAGCACCATCCTCCCTGGAGGGCCACGGAGATGCTGCGAGGGCTGGAGCAGCTCTGCTCTGGAGCCAGGCTGAGAGAGCTGGGCTGGGGCAGCCTGGAGAAGAGAAGGCTCCTGAAGGGGAGACCTGAGAGCAGCTCCAGTGCCTGAAGGGGCTGCAGGAAAGCTGGAGAGGGGCTTGGGACAAGGGATGTAGGGACAGGCCAAGGGGAATGGCTTTAACCTGCCAGAGGGGAGACTGAGATGAGCTCTTAGGCAGAAGCTCTTCCCTGTGAGGGTGCTCAGGCATTGGAACAGGCTGCCCAGGGCAGGGCTGCAGTCACCGTCCCTGCAAGTGCTCACACACCGTGGAGGCAAGGCCTCAGTGCCATGGGTCAGTGGTGGCCTTGGCAGTGCTGGGAACGGTTGGAGTTGGTGATCTTGAAGGTTGATTCCATGATTCCATGAGCTCTCTCTGCATCCCAAAGCCCTTGATGGAACCAGAAAACGAGGTAAAAGGAGAAGCGGGTGCTTTGGAGTTACAAAGACACCGTGTTTACCGTAGGAAGCATGAGGAAGGAGTAGGGATGCTGCTCGTGATGCAGTGGGGTCAGGTTAGCAGCCATATGCTGGGGTAAAACTCAAACAAAACACCCTAAAATCACCTTTGTTTGAGGACCCCCAGCTCTGCAGAGCACCTCTCTGAGGTGGCATTAAAGCCCAGCTGCCTCCCTGGCTCGTTGGTGCCAACTGGGGATCCCATAAAGCAGTGCTGAGGATGAGGTGGCTGCAGGAGCCCAGCCTGGGCACAGCTGCCCGGCTCCATGAGGACCTGCTGGAGACACAGGGAAAGCCAAGCCCCACAGACCCCCCATCTGATCCTCCATGGCCTCAGTGCCTGCTCGTTACCCAAATACTCGTTAGGAGCTGGTTTGGGGCTGTGTTATGGCCATGAGTGGAGCTGGGTTTGGGGCTGGGTTTGGAGCTAGTTTGGGGCTGTGTTATGGCTGTGAGTGGAGCTGGTTTGGAGCTGGGTTTGGAGCTGGCTTGGGGCTGGGTTTGGAGCTGGCTTGGAGCTGGGTTTGGAGCTGGCTTGGAGCTGGGTTTGGAGCTGGGTTTGGAGCTGGGTTTGGAGCTGGGTTTGGAGCTGGCTTGGGGCTGGTTTGGAGCTGGGTTTGGAGCTGGTTTGGGGCTGGGTTTGGAGCTGGGTTTGGAGCTGGGTTTGGAGCTGGCTTGGAGCTGGGTTTGGAGCTGGTTTGGGGCTGGGTTTGGAGCTGGCTTGGAGCTGGTTTGGAGCTGGGTTTGGAGCTGGCTTGGGGCTGGTTTGCAGCTGGCTTGGAGCTGGTTTGGAGCTGGCTTGGGGCTGGTTTGGAGCTGGGTTTGGAGCTGGTTTGGGGCTGGGTTTGGAGCTGGGTTTGGAGCTGGCTTGGAGCTGGTTTGGGGCTGGGTTTGGAGCTGGCTTGGGGCTGGTTTGGAGCTGGGTTTGGGGCTGGTTTGGAGCTGGGTTTGGAGCTGGTTTGGGGCTGGGTTTGGAGCTGGCTTGGAGCTGGTTTGGAGCTGGGTTTGGAGCTGGTTTGGGGCTGGGTTTGGAGCTGGGTTTGGAGCTGGCTTGGAGCTGGTTTGGGGCTGGGTTTGGGGCTGGGTTTGGAGCTGGCTTGGAGCTTGTTTGGGGCTGGGTTTGGAGCTGGGTTTGGAGCTGGCTTGGAGCTGGTTTGGGGCTGGGTTTGGAGCTGGCTTGGAGCTGGTTTGGAGCTGGGTTTGGAGCTGGTTTGGGGCTGGTTTGGAGCTGGTTTGGAGCTGGTTTGGGGCTGGTTTGGAGCTGGGTTTGGAGCTGGTTTGGGGCTGGGTTTGGAGCTGGTTTGGAGCTGGTTTGGGGCTGGGTTTGGAGCTGGTTTGGGGCTGGGTTTGGAGCTGGTTTGGAGCTGGTTTGGGGCTGGGTTTGGAGCTGGGTTTGGAGCTGGTTTGGGGCTGGGTTTGGAGCTGGTTTGGGGCTGGGTTTGGAGCTGGGTTTGGAGCTGGTTTGGAGCTGGTTTGGGTCTGGGTTTGGAGCTGGTTTGGAGCTGGGTTTGGAGCTGGTTTGGAGCTGGTTTGGGGCTGGGTTTGGAGCTGGTTTGGAGCTGGCTTGGAGCTGGTTTGGAGCTGGGTTTGGAGCTGGTTTGGAGCTGGGTTTGGAGCTGGCTTGGAGCTGGTTTGGGGCTGGGTTTGGAACTGGTTATAGCTGGTTTGGAGCGGGTTTGGAGCTGGTTATAGCTGGTTTGGAGCTGGTTTGGAACTGGGTTTGAAGCTGGTTTGGAGCTGGGTTTGGAGCTGGTTTGGAGCTGGGTTTGGAACTGGGTTTGAAGCTGGTTTGGAGCGGGTTTGGAGCTGGTTATAGCTGGTTTGGAGCTGGTTTGGAACTGGGTTTGAAGCTGGTTTGGAGCTGGTTTGGAACTGGGTTTGAAGCTGGTTTGGAGGTGGTTTGGAGCTGGGTTTGAAGCTGGTTTATAGCTGGGTTTGGAGCTGGTTTGGAGCTGGTTTGGGTCTGGGTTTGGAGCTGTTTTGATGCTGGTTTGGAGCTGGTTTGGAGCTGGGTTTGAAGCTGGTTTGGGGTTGGGATTGAAGGTGGTTTGGAGCTGTTTCGAAGCTGGTTTGGTGCTGGTTTTGAAGCTGGTTTGGGACTGGGTTTGGAGCTGGTTTGAGGTTGATTTGGGGCTGGGTTTGGAGTTGGTTTGGAGTTGGTTTGAAGCTGGTTTGAAGATGGTTTGGGGCTGGGTTTGGAGCTGATTTGAAGCTGGTTTGGGGCTGGTTTGGAGCTGGTTTGGGGCTGGGTTTGGAGCTGGTTTGAAGCTGGTTTGGGGCTGGGTTTGGGGCTGGTTTGGAGCTGTTTTGAAGCTGGTTTGGGGCTGGGTTTGGAGCTGATTTGAAGCTGGTTTGGGGCTGGTTTGGGGCTGGGTTTGGAGCTGGTTTGAAGCTGGTTTGGGCCTGGGTTTGGAGCTGGTTTGAAGCTGGTTTGGGGCTGGGTTTGGGGCTGGTTTGGAGCTGTTTTGAAGCTGGTTTGGGGCTGGGTTTGGAGCTGATTTGAAGCTGGTTTGGGGCTGGTTTGGGGCTGGGTTTGGAGCTGGTTTGGAGCTGGTTTGGGGCTGGGTTTGGAGCTGGTTTGGGGCTGGTTTGGAGCTGGTTTGGAGCTGGTTTTAAGCTGGTTTGGAGCTGGGTTTGAAGCTGGTTTGGAGCTGTTTTGGAGCTGGTTTGGGGCTGGGGCGCAGCAGCCGCCCGCTGGTTCAGTCAATCCCAGTTTTTCAGCTCTGACGCTCCAGATTTACCAATTTGCTGCCAAAATGCCACTTCTGGTAAGCGTTTTCTAAGGACAAGATACAAAATTGGGCTTGAATTTTCACCCTAGGAAATCAGCCGCAAAGTTCTGCTGCCTCCCGCGCTGGTTCCTGCGCTTTTCCTCCCCCTTCCACCATCAGTTCCCCAACGCCAAACCCAACGCCAGGCGTGCTTCACAAACTGCCTTTGGAAATGAGCTTTTATTGGCGTGATCTCCTTGTTTTCATGATTGATTTCATTGCGGGGAGCGAGGCCTTCCCAGGGCAAGGCACCAGGCACTGGTTTTGGTGTCTCAGGACCAAGCCGGGCTCTGCCCAGCCCCTGGGAAGGCACCGAGCCCGCAGCGGAGCCCGTTCCTGCCGTTGAGGTGCGTTCAACAGGATGGAGTGGAGCCCTTGCACAGGGAGTTGCGGTAGTTCCTGTAGGAGCTCCGGAACGTCCTGGCTGCCCTCTGGAAGCACTCCGCCGCCCGCCTGTCGCACTCGCAGCTCCCTCTTTGACACCAAGTCCCAGATCCTGGAAGGAAATGGGGTGGGATGGGGATGGGAGAAGGGAAGGGGGGGAGAGGCAGAAGATGGCTCTTGGATCATCCCCATGTTGAGCTTGGGGCGTCCCCTGACCTGTGGCGCGTGGGGCTATAAACCATGGATGGCCATAAAGGAGCTGTTGAGGTGACTTTATCTATGTATGTATGTACAGATATTTGCCTAGGTTACAGGGAAGTGCTTTGTTTTTAGCCACTCACCATGACAGGACAATGTTTGCTTTGGGGAAAGGGAGGCAGCAGGGCCAGGTCCCCATCTGAGATGGGAGGGTTGCCTCAAACCTTCAGTATTGGCCCTTACAGAAGGGCAACCCCCTCCTTTGGGAGGTCTCTGAGCTCTACACCTCTCCATATTCCCAGGAAACATTAATTTGCCCTATTCCAGGTGCTTTTCCCTCCTTTCCACCCTCTCCCCAGCTGGTTTCCAGGCCAGGATAATGGCCTGAAGGACATCTCGGAGGAGAGGTGTGTGTATTTGTGCCTTTGGCCCCGTGCCGCCTCTCACCGCACGTTATCTTGCTTCCCTGGATGGAGTATTTGTACGTGACCAGCTTGGGGCTGCAGCGAGAGGAGGACAGCTTCTTGTAGCAGCAGTCGTGGGCATGGCAGCACCTGCGGGCACGAGAGGGAGCGATTCGGGTGGTGCCATGGCGGTGAGCACCGGTAGTGCTCACATCAGCACCGTGAGGAACGTGTCCCGTTCGTCCTGGGTTAGGTGCTCTCCTCGTGCTGCAGGAGCGTGGGGAGGTGACTCACACCTCTGGCATCACCAGCCCAGCTCGACATGCTTCCCCCTGCTTACAAATGGCCCATAGCTGGATCCCAAAGCATCTCTGCCTGATGCTGCCCGGGCAGAAGCAACGCTGCTGTGCCCCATTCCATCACCTGCTGCTCCCGAGCAACGCTTAAGGAGGACAAGCAGTGATGCTTGCATTGGGCTACCGGGAGCAGGGCAAGCATTCCCTGCGCTGATGGAGGGAGAGGGAGGCAGGGAGGGCTGGGAGCGCCGGGTCCCGACTCACCTGTCGGTGGCGTCCAGCGGCTGCTTGGATCCCCCCAGGCCGCAGTAGCAGCCGTAGCCGTTGTAGGACAGCGGTGATTTCCCTGTCTTGCGCTTGATCATTGAACCGAACTGAATCACGTTGCAGGCAGCAGGCGCCAGCCCTGCCACTGGGGACAGCGGCGTTAGGAGCACGGGGAAAGCAACCTCCCCTCCCAGCCGTCTGTAGCAAGGAAGAGCATTTTCACCCTCCCCGGTTCACTGCTTAGGGATGCCTCGGCCATGGAGGGTACTCACAGCAGAGGAGCAACAAGAAGAGCTTCATGGCTGGTGGTGGCAGCTCCGGTGTCCGGGTGAGCCCAAGGTGCCTCCAGTCACACCTTTTATAGCCCCATGGGCTGCCTGGCGCGGCCCCTCCTTCAGAGAGCCCAAAGTGGGCAAATATTGACAAATGTCACCATTTTGGTGGCACTGTGTGTGCGAGCCTCTCTCGGCGCTGCTGGAGGCCTCAGTGGGGAGCCCTACGCTGGGACAGCCCTTTGCAGGGGAGGTTTTGGTGGACTGGGATGAATGGGGCAGACCGGGGCTGAGTCCATGCGTGGCTCCTGGGTATCTCAGCATCCCAATGGGAAAACTTGAGGGAAAATGGGAACCACTTCGCTCCTGCACTCTTTTTGATGTCTAGGTTGGAAAACACCACTCTGTATCTTACCCTTTCCGTCATGACTTACCAGGCAGGGAGAAAATGCAGGCGGTGCAAAGCATCCTCTGCTTCTGAAGTACCCATTGTGTGAGATGCAGCACCGTGAGCTGGTGGCCCTCCAGAATGGGCTGTGGCAAGAGATGGGACTGAGGAAAGGGTCTGTATGCTGGTTTTCCTGGGTCTTCAGTGCCCAGAGGCTCCTTCTGTATGGGGATGTTCCATTGCTTCCCCTGTGTGCATTTTCCTCCTCTCAAAACAGAGCAGGCGTTGCTCATGGGCTGCTGGGTGAGCTGTTTGGCTCACATTTAGGGCACCGGAGCTGGTGCAGGGCCTGGAGCACAAGTGTGATGGGGAAGGGCTGAGGGACCTGGGGGGTTCAGTCTGGAGCTGAGAAGGCTCAGGGGGGACCTGATGGCTCACTACAGCTGCCTGACAGGAGGGGTTGGGCTCTGCTCCCAAGGAACAAGGGATGGGACAAGAGGAACCGGCCTCAAGCTGCACCAGGGCAGGTTTAGATGGAGCTGAGGAACAATTCCTGCCCCAGAGGGTGCTCAGGCATTGGAACAGGCTGCCCAGGGCAGGGCTGCAGGCACCGTCCCTGCAAGTGTTCACACACCCTCAGTGCCATGGGTTAGGGGTGGCCTTGGCAGTGCTGGGGAATGGTTGCTCTTGATGAGTTTAAAGGGCTTGTCCATGATTTATGTAGAAGGAAATTAAGGCAAGCGGCAGGGCAAGGACAAACAATACCAGGGCTGTATGCTGGAAGGGTGAAGGGGAGGACGGCTGTCGCTTGCAGACAATCTCTAACGCAAGAGGTGATGCTGAATGCCCATTTAGCAGTTTCCTTCTGGCAGAGCTTGCAGGTTCTCAGTGCTCTGCGAGGAGCCCCAGCACCAGCCAGGATGAGGAAATCCCCTGTCTGTGATGGGGAAACTGAGATGGGAAACAAGGACGTGACTTGTGTGAAACTGGAGTGATGATGGGAAGAAGGAACTTGGTCAGGGCCCCAGCAGGATCTCTTCCCCCTCTGTCGGGAGCCTTTTACACGCCTTTTCTGCCTTTTCTCCAGGCAGAAAAATACATAAATAGTTAAAATTCACCCAGGATTTCAGCAAGGAGAGCGTGTTCCAGCTCATCCTGACCTGCAGTCCACCTCTGTGATGCTCCTGCTCCCATCTCGGCAAGGATTTGATCCTTGATTTATGCCATAGACAGCAGCTGTGGGGCGAAAGGATGCCCTCTCCTTCCTTGTCCCCCTGAGGATAAGCACAGCTGGCAGAGCTCAGCGCTGGCTTGCAGCCAGAAGGAAGCGTTGCTGATTTAAGGGATATTTCCTGGTGCCACCGAGTTCAGCTTTGGCACAAGCCAGGGTGGGAATGGCAGCTGCCGAGGCCGCATTTGCTCCCTGTTCCTGTGGCTCTCCATTGCTGAGCCCCACAGGGGGTCACAGAACCAGGACCTCACAGCGGGCCAACCCCCGGGGCAGAAACCCTGCTTTATGGGGACGCTGCTGCGGTGAGGGGGGAAGCAGCCGGTGCCTGAGCCGCCTGTTCTAGGGGCTGTGCTCGGGCTTGCTGCAGAATCAGGCCACAGCATTCCTTTCTAGTGAGAAATGTGTTTTGCTGCGAGGCGAGCTGCTGACCACCCCACTGCAGCAGAGGTTGCCAGCGCCCGGCCCTCCCCAGCATCACTCAGCCCTTTGCGTCGGCTTGGATTGCTCCATCTCGGAAGGACCGCACGTCCCGGAGCCTGGAGGCTCGGGGATGAGCGGGGATGTGCAGATGCAGGTCAGGGGGTGTCATTGTCGCTGGTTTTCCGTCGGGAAACCCAGCTAAGACGTTAGCCGCTGCCTGAGCGAGTCACGCCGCGCTGAGGACCGAACTTTTGCGCTCTCTGGTTTTATTTGGGAGCAGCAGAAGGGAACGTGCAGCGAAGCGAAAAGCAGAGGGAGCGGAGGGGCTGCACAGGAGCCGAGGGGGACGCGCGCTGGCTCCATCTCGCCCTTCGCAGCGACGAGGAGCGGGTGCCCACCGCTCCCGTGTTTCCCTGCGCCGAGACCTCGCACCTGAGCTGCTCTCCCTCTTCGGACCCGGTGCGCGCCGGCACAACCGCACCAGAGGGCGGCTGTCCTCGTGTCGAAGCCGGAAAGCCCCACGGAGGAGACCCGGCAGGGCTGGGGTTCGCTGCTGGCCCCGTCCCTTCGCTCACCAGCCCGGATGCGGCTCAATGCAAGGAGCCCCTTTGGCTTCAGCACCGCCCGCCTCGGCCCCGGCACTTGCTGCGGCGCCGGAGCTGCCCCCGGCTGTGCATGCGGCAGAGCAGGGCTGCCCGCTCGCATCGGCAGGCGCCCCTTTGGCACCAGGTCCCGGAGCCTGCGGACACCGGAGGGAAGCGCAGCTGAGCCCTCCCCTTAGGGCAGCTCCGCGAGTGCTGCCCGGGGAAGGGAAACGGGATGCTGGGGAGCGGCGGGGACTCACTGCAGCGGGGCGCTGCTGCCCGGGGCACGGGGAAGGGCTGCGCGGGTCCCGCGGGGCAGCGCCGTGCCGCCAGCCTGGCGTAGCAGCAGGCCCGGAGCCGGCAGCACCTGCGGCGAGAAGAGAGCCCGGGCTCATCCGAACCACGGCACCAGCGGCTTCGGACCTACCTGGCACGGGCCCTGCGAGCCCGGCGTCCTCCTCCTGCCCTGAACCGCACCGAAGCTGCTCCTTCCAGCCCACCCTTACACAAAGCCTCTTCTCTACTCCCCTGTGCTACCTCTGTCCAGCTCTGGGACCATCCTGCCTTCAGGACCGTCCTTCTCCTCTGGAGCCACCCCATTGACTTCAGGCAGCTGCTGCTGGCACAACCCTACCGACTACAGGGCTGGAATTAGGGGTGAAGGCGCCTTCCCTAAAGCCTATTCCCCTCCTGTAGCTGCCCGTGGCCTGGTCTGCTTTTTGCAAGGCTTTAGAGGTTGCTCATGACCCCTGGGGTTACCCTGGGGCCAGCGTTAGCCCTCAGGGGCAGCACTGTCTGTACCGGTCCATTGAAGCCCTCGACGTGCCCCATCCCGAGGAGCAGCCATGGGTCACATTTCCTACGGTGCTCCCCTCGAGTCCCGGTGCAAACGTGTGCGGGAGCTTCCCATGAGCTATGGACACACCTAAAGGGAGCAGAAAGTGTGATTTTTACAAGTTATGTGCAGAAACAAGGCCTGGGGAATGATGGGGACGGTGTCCCCGTGGAGCGCACGGGGGTCTGGGGATGCTCCGTGCATCAGCACAGGGCTGCAGCCTGGCTCCCAGCTGTGGGCCAGGGATGGCTGCACTTACTGCAGGCAAACAGCACTGCCACCATCAGCAGGACCTTCATCTTCCTCTCACCCACGCCTGGGAGGAGAAACAGGACACGCTCAGCAGGGCAGGGTGACAGGCACCGCCATTCAAACCGTGCCTCTGAAGTCAGGTCTGATCACCCCGAAATCAGAGGTGGCAAAGGCAGCCGTGCCCTCCGGCATCTGTGCTGCTGCCCCTTGGCCAGAAGCAAACCCTTTGGGAACCTGTCCCACCACCCGAGCACCTCCTGCCTCCCGTCCCACTGCTTCCAGCACCCAGGGCATCACTTTACAGGGGCAGTGCCACTACCCCTGGGACGGAGGTTCTATCTGAGAGCAATGGCAAGCAGCAGAAGCAGCTCTGCAGCATCCCCCCCCTGTGGTTTCGTTCTGCAGCAGCCACGAGCCCACCCCACAGGGGGAGTTGCTCACCGGGGGATGGCTCCGTCTCCCCTTCCTCGCTGTCCTGGGGAGCAGCCCCTCCACGTCCGGCCCGAAGCTCCCAACTGGAAGTGCTGAAATCACTTCTCTGTCCCAAAATTGCTTTCTGCTACGCCCCTTCCCTCGCTGGCCAAACCCCTCCGTCCCCGTGGGCTGCAGCCCCGTGACGCAGGGGCCGAGACGGAGTTCCTGCATGGCCTGGGGAGGATGCTGTGCTTTCACAGAGGGGATTTCTCTGCTGCCCACAGAGGGGTGGATTAAGCACGTTGTTTATTTGCGCTTTGAGGGAATTCACAGCAGCACTGACGTGGTTCACACAGGCAGGGACGGAGGGAGGTGTGGATGCAGAAACCGGCCCCACATCCCAGCCCCCATCACCAGCAGGGATGTGGGGATGTGGGGATGCAGAAACCGGCCCCACATCCTAGCTCCCATCACCAGCAGGGATGTGGGGATGTGTGGATGCAGAAGCCAGCCCCACATCCCAGCTCCCATCATCAGCAGGGATGTGGGGATGTGTGGATGCAGAAGCCGGCCCCACATCCCAGCCCCCATCACCAGCAGGGATGTGGGGATGTGGGGATGCAGAAGCTGGCCCCACGTCCCAGCTCCCATCATCAGCAGGGATGTGGGGATGTGGGGATGCAGAAGCCGGCCCCACATCCCAGCCCCCATCACCAGCAGGGATGTGGGATTGTGTGGATGCAGAAGCCGGCCCCACATCCCAGCCCTCATCACCAGCAGGGATGTGGGATTGTGTGGATGCAGAAGCCGGCCCCACATCCCAGCCCTCATCACCAGCAGGGATGTGGGGATGTGTGGATGCAGAAGCCGGCCCCACATCCCAGCTCCCATCACCAGCAGGGATGTGTGGATGCAGAAGCCGGCCCCACATCCCAGCCCCCATCACCAGCAGGGATGTGTGGATGCAGAAGCCGGCCCCACATCCCAGCCCCCATCACCAGCAGGGATGTGGGGATGTGGGGATGCAGAAGCCGGCCCCACGTCCCAGCTCCCATCACCAGCAGGGATGTGGGGATGTGGGGATGCAGAAGCCGGCCCCACGTCCCAGCCCCCATCACCAGCAGGGATGTGTGGGTGCAGAAGCCGGCCCCACATCCCAGCTCCCATCATCAGCACCGGTGCCTGGGGTAGAATCGGTGGCTCCTCCTGTAGCTCCCGGTGCTTCTCTTGAGGCAAAGGGCCAGGCTGCGGTCGCACTCGCAGGAGAGCTGGGAGCACCACGAGCCCTTTCCTGCAGGCAGAGGGGACCCCTGGGTCACCCCAAGCTCGGGGGTTGGGGGGGGGGGGGGGGCACCCCCTTTGCCAGGGCCCTACTCACTGCAGGAGGGGCTGCTGCCGGCCCAGTCGTAGAGGTAGCTCTGAGCTTTGGCATTGCACTGGTGGCTCAGGAGGCTCTCGTAGCAGGTATCGTGCAGCTGGCAGCATCTATGCGGGACCTCGAGGCGTTGGGGCTTGGTTTTGTTCCCTTTCCCCCCCCACATTTAAAGCCATGCTCGGGCAGGGAGGTGTTGGAGCCGCTCTTACCTGTCTGTGGCATCCTTGGGCTGCCCCTTGCCCCCAAAGCCGCAGTAGCAGCCGTAGAAGGAGTAATGCAGCAAAGCGTTTTTCCCCGTCGCCTTCGTGATCATCTTGTGCAGATCCCAGAGGCTCCCATGAGCTGGGGGCAGAGCTGGGGAAGCGGGAATAGGTGGGGTTCACGCTGACATCCAGCCCCACAACAGCATCTCCATCCCTCCAGCTCCCAGATGGGTACCGGCCTGGTGATGTCTTTAAGGCTGGTCCATGGAGCAGAGTACTCGGTGCGGGAGGGTTGTTGTATGTTTGGTGATGGGAAAAGGTCAGGAAATGACCAGCCTGGTCCTAATTTCCATGACTACACTGCATGGAGAGCCGTGGTGCGAGGGAGGACACTTACCCCATGCAACCAGCACAGCGAAGGCCAGGTTCATCTTCCTGACAGCCCTGGGAGAGGAAACCAAACCATTCCCCTGTTCCATCAACCACTTTCCTTTGTACTTCCCCCTCAGTGGGGGCAGAGGTGGTCCCACCTTGGGGGATGAGAGGGTGAGGCTGTGCTGGGGATGGGAAGCGATGGGAATTGGCTGGTGGAGGAGTGGAAAAAGCAAACTGAAGGGATAGGAAGAAAGGTTGGAGGAACGACGGAAAAGGTTGGAAACCCTCGAGGGCTGCATCCACCGCTCCGCTCTGGGCTGGTGTCTCAGGAGCCTTCCCTGATCCTGCTTTCCCAGCATGGGCCTCGCTTCCCGCTCGCGCTGGTTGAAGGCAGGAGCGGCATTCCCACATCCCTGCTTACCTCGGGAAGCCGCCGCTCGCCCCCAGGGCCCTGCAGCTGCCGGGGTGTGCTTTATACAGTTTGCTCCCTGCTGCCAGGGGCTTGTTCTACCCAAATCTTGCCGACTGGGCTCTTCTGCAAAGGAGAAGGCACCATCCTTCCCCTTTATGGGAACGCAGGGATTCCCCTCGGCGCCCTGGCTGTGCTCACAGGGCTGGGGCTGTCAGAGCAGCATTTCCAGCCCAAGGAGGAAGCCAACGCTCTGTGCCCCAGGCCAGAGGTGCCCGAGGGCCTTTTTCTCTGCCCTTGCCAACACCCCGGTGCTGTATGAGGGTGGGGAAGTGCATGGGCTGCAATGCAAGCATCACTACATGTGCCTTTCCCAGGAGCACGGGTTATGCAGCCTCTGGATGAGTGAATGTTCACGCCCCGTGTGAGGGGAATGAATCAAACCCCATGTTTAGTGATGAGTGAATGCAGCTTCCCTCTGTTTCTCTTCCTCCTTTTACACCTCCCCATTGCAGCCCCTGTGCAGAGCTCATTCCCTATGGGGAAAGCACCCAGTCCGCCTTGGGGTGGACGGGGCTTTGACGTCTTCCCTCCTCTGCGGGTTCTTCAGCCTTCACGTTGGCCATATTTGTACCTCAGTGTCACGGGAAGATCCCAAATCATCTCCCACATTTCCCACCACCGTTATTCCCATAAAAACACCTTTTGGCCCTATCCCACCTGCCCCTTAAAGCACTGCTTTGATTTTGCTCCGGGCTGAGCTCAGCTACCGGGAAGGGCTGTTGGGAGAAGCTGAAAAACCCCACTGCCACCAGGGCTCAGTGCTGGGGGATCATTGCTGTCGCCAAGCCCTGTGCATTACAGCCACTGCTGCCGTTGGGATCGTGCGAATACCGGGGTCAGGCTCTGGTGTGGCTGCAGGGTGAGATGTAAAGTGCCCCCCAAACTCAGCAGCTCGGTTGCCACCAGTGCAGTGCCTCAGTGGCTCTGATGGAAACCCATCCCGGAGAATCACTTTAAACACCTTTTATTGCCTTTACTGGGAAACGGAATCAAGAGAGAAAAGGGAGGAGGAAGGGACAAACGGCTGGGAGCTGAGGCGTCCTTTTGGGAAGGGGGAGCTCCACTCGTAACGTGTGAGTGCCCTTCCTCACCCTCAGCATCACCGCAGGGGCTCCGGCCGTGTTTGGCCCCCATGTCAGGCTTTTCTTGCCGTGGCAATAGGGAAAGCCAGTGAAACCCTGCAGCCTCGCTTGCAGCCCCCCCTTCCCTGCTCAGCACTGGAGTTTGCTTCCTTGGCATTTCAGCTTGAAATAGAAGAGGTAGGATTTGTTGTAGGAAGGCAAAGTGCTTGCGAAGCACGAAGCCACCGCCTGGTCGCACAGGCAGGTCTCTCTCTTGCACCAGCTCTGCTCATCACCTGCGGGGGGGGGGGAAAACACTGCTCTAAATGGCTTTTCTGCTCAGCAGCAGCAGCGATGGGGCCGCTCCGGGCACCCCTGATGCCTGGAGCTGCCCAGGGGAAGAGCAGGGAGCAGCGTGCCCAGTGCTCGCCCCCTCCAAGCTGCCTGCATCCCTTGTAATTCCCGGCTGATTATCATGTGCCGTATCCTGCACGCACCCGACAGGGCACCAGGCTGGATCCATCCCGGGGGGGGGGGACATCCTCCTGTGTACCTGGGGTGCTGTGGGGACTTGTGGGTGGTTCCCCACCTCCGTGGGACCCCCCGGCTCTGTGGCACTCACCGCAGACGATGTCTCCATCAGCAACATCGAACTGGTAGGGGGTTACCAGCGGGGTGCATGTGCCCTGTCTCAGCCTCCTGTAGCAGCAGTCGTGAGCGTGGCAGCACCTATGGGGGACACCTCGAAGGTGAGGGAGGGTCCAGCCCCAAATTTAAGGTAACTGGGAGGAGGGGATGGCCAAGACAGCAGCAGGGACCAGTGCAAACCCCGCTCCGCAGAGCACACCGGTGCCCAGGGGGGTTTTTGGGGCCCCCTGCCCCGGGTTATCCGGGTACTCACTGGTCGGTGGAGTCCACCGGGGTGCCCCTGCCGCCGATGCCGCAGAAGCAGCCGTACCAGCTGTAGGAGAGCAGCGCGCTTCTCCCCGTGGCCGCCCGGATCATCTGCTCCAGCTCCAGGACGCTGCTGTGGGCCGGCAGCAGCCCTGCAGGGCACAAGGATGAGCTGGTGCGGGGCCGGGACGCAGCGGCATTCCCTGTGCCTTGCACCAGGAACGGGAATGGGGCATGGGAACCATGGGAAGCACCCCCAAACCCCTCAGGATTATGTCTGGTCTCTGCAGCTGCCTCCTTCAGTCTGGAGAATCAGAGTCATGGAATGGGTTGGGTCGAAGGGACCCTAAAGCCCATCCAGCTCCAACCCCTGCCACGGGCAGGGACCCCTTCCACTAGAGCAGCTTGCTCCAAGCCCCTGTGTCCAACCTGGCCTTGAACACTGCCAGGGATGGGGCAGCCACAGCTTCTCTGGGCACCCTGTGCCAGCGCCTCAGCACCCTCACAGGGAAGAGCTTCTGCCTTATCTCCAACCTGAACTTCCCCTGTTTCAGTCTGAACCCATCACCCCTTGTCCTATCGCTACAGTCCCTGATGAAGAGTCCCCCTCCAGCATCCAACAAGATGTTAGTGCTCTCTGAGGAGGCTGTGCCATGACTGCATCCTGCAACCCTGACCAGCTCTGGCCTTGACACAGGCAGGAAAGCTGGTGACAAAATAACTCTGGATCTCAGCATCCCAAATCCTTCCCACCATGATGACCTCCAGGGCTAAGTCTCATTTGCCAGGCAGGAGAGGTCCCAGCCTGGCCCGGTGAAACCGGGGCACTTACCGCAAGCCAAGAGCAAGGTGAAGAGGAGATTCTTCATCCTCAGAGCGGTCCTGGAGGAGGAAACAGCAACAGGGGGCAATGAGCAGTACCCCAAGCACAGGACCGATGCCACCACGCCTGCGCCAGGGGCACGGAGCACGGTGACATTGGTGTTACCATGGACGTACAGCATTGTGAGGGTACCCCTGTGCCCGAGCGCACCCAGATGACTCCTGATGGGGCCTTTGAGGCTGGTTTTGGGATGTGGCGCTTGGCAGGGATGCGCACGGGGACACAAGGGTTTTAAAACCGGGGCTGGGGGAGCTCACTGCTCACTGCTGAAGAGAATGGGCAATAAAGTTCCCCTCGTCCTTATCTCGCCTGCACCTCGCAGCTCCAAGGCTGCTGCTGGCTCAGTGGGTTTGCTTTATAGAGATGGTGAGGTCCAGCCCCTCCTCTGTCTGTGCTGGCGGCTCCTGTCACTGTGGAGCAGGGCCCTCGGTGAAGGAGAAGGTTCCCATCCTTCCCCTTTCCAAGAGACAGGAGTTTCTGCCGGTGCAGCCCGTGGTGATGCTCCCTCCACCACCTCGCTTCGCCCATCTGCTCGTCGTCTCCATCTCGGGCAGTCTCCATCTCTCCTGGATGAGCTGGTCAAAGCCTTGGCTGTGATTTAATATCCACAGGTTTCAGCGGAGACACAGGACAAAAGGGACTTGTGCTCAGGACACACCGAGGTCACTGCACCCCTGTTCAGCTGCAGACACTTTGGCCTCGGTGTTGTCCCAAGTGGGTGCTTGGCTTTGTCAGCTCACGCCCTGCAGCCTCTGAAGTGGTTCCTCTTGGGTCTTGCCCCCTCTCAAATCCACGTCTGCATCTATTCCTTGTGTCTGTGCTTTTCCTGCCCTCAGGGCAAGGGGTCTGTGAAATGGAATCACCACAAACGCCATGGAAACCCAACTTGGAATGCTTTTGAATGGAGTTTATTTAATCACCACAGCTGAGACATGACACCAAGACACAAGGGAGGCAAGAACCTGAGGAGATAAGGAACAAAAGCTGCTATTTTCCCTGCTAAACCGCAGGGCCAAGAGCAAACACCAAGGTATGCAGGGCTCCACCTCGGTGATCAGCCACACTCCCAGGAAGGGAATTCCGGGAGGGAATGGTAAGAACCTGGCTCAGGGGGCTCTATTCAAGAAGAAAACCCCTTGTTGAATCCCTTGAGAGCCACCCAAGCTGCTCACTGGAGGGATGTCACCTCCCGCCTGTCCTCCAAGGCTCTTCTTCCCTCTATTTCCTGCTGCCAAGTGGAACAAAAAGCCACGCAAGCCCCGTCAGGGGATGCTGGTGAGGAGCAGCAAGCCTGAATCCCCCCTCAAGGGTGCTGAGGGGCTTTCCCATTCATCACCTGCACACAGAACCATCTCATTGCCACTGGCTGCATTGGTTTGCATTGCAATGATGCCAACCAGTGGGGATCACACCGACACCCAAACCCCCTCTCTCCCCACCTGACTTTCAAACCCATGGCATCCCAGATGGCTGATCATTCGCTTCCCACCTCATCCACACAAAAGTCCCATTGGAGAAGATGCCCCCGTGGTGGTGGTGGTGGTGAT